TGCCCTTGCTGGGAACTCTGGGAGCACTTCCAGTGGAAAGATTTCCTTTCCTCCAGCTTCAGAGCAGCCAGCTCCTTCCAGACAACTTCAGGGACACTTGAATTTCAGCGTAAGGGTCTGTGTGAGTGCAACCTGATGTGCTGGACTTCCCAAGAGATCCTGGAAAGACGCCACTGCCTCAGCTTTCCACTGCAGAACTGCTCCTCTGCTCAGCGCGGCAGGAACCACACCGTGAAAGCAAATTGGGTTCGCCTGTTTCTCAGTCTGTAAAGTGCACTAAAGGTAACGTGGAAGAGATATTGCCTTAAATCAGGCATATTCGTGATTTCCAGTGGTTTCTGGGCTTACCAAACCCGGAGGGCGAGCACGGCATCCTGATAAGTCAGTCCTTTGAACCGCGTGCTGCAGCTTATATCAGAGTTCAGTGACACGGAGCACGTTTCCGTGTTGTTACCCACTGATGCTGATGTTGCTGGAGTATGACAGAATCATAACCTGCAAAATAAACCAGCACGTAAGGCCTGTGACTCATGAGTAGTTTTGCTGGAATAAAGCTGCTTCGTATCCAACATAATACTTAGAAAACAATACCCAGAATTTATTGAAATGAAGACTCTCCTCTCTCCTTGCCTTGCATACAAGAATTGGAAACCTTTGAGGGTTTATTTTCCCCTCTACTCTTCCCAGAAATAAGAGGGGTTCCAGGAACAAGAATACGTGCGACATAAATTCGTGTGAAACACTGTAAGGATAGCTGAAAATATTTTATTTATTTATTTTTTCTTCGAAATACCAAGAAAAAGGGATGCTGTGCTAACGCGCTCACCAAAGGACTAGACGAGAGGGTCTGTTTAGATACCTTGCCACAGGTGAGCAAAAGAGCATAAAGACTGGCACAGGATTAATTTAGTAAATTAAAGCACAGCCTACAGGTCTTGTGGGCAGATTTTTCTTTCTTTTCAGAAGTTAAAATTGGCTGAGAGGGAACTGCAAGTGTTGGGGAGGGGGTGAGACAATTGTCCAAGAATCTGATTACTGGTATTTGCTGGCTGTCAGAGAGAGCTGTTTATTTTTTTCAAAGCCTAAGTGTCCCTTAGTATTTTTAAGGGGTTTAGGGCATGTCTAACAATCAGTTAGTTAATCAATCAGTTAAGATTTTTAAAATTAGGTTACAAGTTTGGCTTATAAAAGTAACTGCAAGTTATACAAAAATATCCGCACTGTGTTCAGATAAGAAAATGAATCACATTAAAATGTCAATAAGGACATATCAGAGGGGGGCCCTGCTGGTTCAGATTTTAAAGAGCTAACGGTGGCATAGGAATGAGCTTACTTGCATTTATTTATTTATTTATTTATTATTATCAAAAGATACTTCAGAAGATTCAGTCTGTAGAGAGAGGAACACAGACTGAAGGTCACACGTAAAGAAAGAAAGGTATATGCTAGAAATTTAAAATGTCAATAAGGACATATCAGAGGGGGTCCCTGCTGGTTCAGATTGTAAAGAGCTAACAGTGGCATAGGAATGAGCTTACTTGTATTTATTTATCTATTTTTTTTATTATCAAAAGATACTTCAGAAAATTCAGTCTGTAGAGAGAGGAACAGAGACTGAAGGTCACATGTAAAGAAAGAAAGGTATATGCTAGAAATTTGCAATTCTGAAGAAGTTTTAAAGGCCAAAACTGTCAGTAAAGGACGTAAGTGCTGTTATGGAGGAGTCGTGTTAGCTCCATGTCTTACTCAAAAAGGGGAATACTCGGGAGCAGTAGAGAGGTGATATTTACCTCTCATGTGGCTGATGCTGGAATAACACCTAAATTTTCATCTATCTGTATTGAAAAATTGAAATGGGTTACCAAAAGGAAAAAATAAATCACTCAAGGGATGGAGTGTTCAAGACTATGAACCTTACCCAAAGAATGTTAATGATAATTACACAATTGCTATAAGAATATACCAGGAAACAACTTGCTTTTTAGCACAGAAATGGTACCAAGAGTTTCAAACTCCAACTGGAAAGAAGAGGGCATTTTCAGTAGTTGAGCATAAGCGCACTGAGAGATGCTCCAGTGGAGGAAGGTGGATTCTCCTACTGCTACTTGACTTGTGGGCAAGAACAGCCTCCTAGAAGCTATTCCACTTCCACAGCATGGAATTTCCCCACAGTTTTTCTGCTACCTCAACTTAATATTAATTCCATCTCAAAAATTATCACTTGTGAAAGTGATATGGCTATAAGATATGAAGGCAGTTCATTACTCACCCACCTTTTATTACTGTTACATATATTCGTAGATTTGTATCTAACCTGCACAGGTGGCTTCTGTTAAAACTTCACTCCCCATTTCATGGATGTGTCAGTTTTAGAGTTTAATTTAGTTTCGTGTTGTAAGGTACATAAAGTATATTTTCCTCTATAAAATTACCTATTTCCAAACATGACAAACAGCAGAACCCAGTACAGTTTGAGAGAAAATCAAAATTGATTTTTGGCAATTTTGAACCCTGAATTTTTAAGTCCATTTGTCTGTCAACATCACTGGGAGGCCAACCAGCCTGTTCACAGATCTGCAACCTTGAGAAGTTTTTTTTGAGAGTGTAGTACATCAAAATGGTAAATACGCGAGAGTTTGTTTCTTTATACTATCTTTATTAACATACAGATGAAACAAAACAACTTTATTCCTGTAACATAGTCCTACTTGTCAGAAGTGGTGCAAGAAAGTCCCTCTGCTGCCATACATTTAAACCACCACAGATCTGGAAGAACATCAAGGCTCTTAACTCTGTAATAATGTTCCTTTTCAAAACTGCTTTTTCTCCGTGTCAATTCTAAGCTACAGTGAAGAGGGTATTTTTTTTCTCCTTCGCTATTGCTTTCTAGATGGCTGCTAAACCCCAGGCAGCTACTAACTATACATGAATCTAAAGATTTGGCAAGCGAGGAGGACTGGGGGAATGAATTACTGCAGAATCTGTGCTTTAATTGTAAATGCAGTCTCTAGCTGTGTGTCATTAAACCCTGGGTGGATGCCGCAGCTGCTGAGCCGTGAGAGGGCAGCTGCTGCAGATCAAACTCCATCCTCATTCTGGTCAGCCACAACGTGAGCTCCTGCACTGCCCCTCCTCTTCCCTCAGCTGAATTCCTTTGCCTTTTAAAAATTCCCACTGCTGGCTTTATTAGGTGGAAGAGACACTAACGATGTGCTTGAAGAGAAGACAGAAAGTGAAATGACAGGAGGAATGGAAAAACGATGGTGCAGCACCTTTATCTACACTTAGGAGGTTTGTGCACATGCAGTTCCGCATCTTATCGGGAAAGAACACTACATTTCTTCCACTGCAATCTCAGCCCCGTTGCTATTACTGAATAGTCATGAATTCTGCATTTTCACTAACAATAAGCGTGAGAAATGAAATTAAGAAACTTCAGAGAATGCTACAATTCTGTTTCATTAGTCCAGCTGAGGTTTGTTTTTGTTTGGGCTCTTCTGCATTTGGTGTAAAAGCTCTAACATCTTCCCTTGAAGGACAAAGCACAGGAGAGGTGGTGGAAGTAGGGTACTGGTTACATGAGGATTCTTTACCTTAGAGGGAATTTGAATGCTAACTTTGTTTTTTTAAGGTTAAGAAAAACAAACAAAAGTCTGAGTCATTCTGCCTTTTCAACAACAGTAGAATTAGCAGGGGGTGGGAGGTTCCTGACTTGCCGTTGTGCTTATTTGCTTTTCTGTTCATAATCAGGGCAGTGCATAAGCAACAGTTATATATTTTTGAGATGAAGATCACAGCTTTTATGACCGTAGCTGGAGAGAGACAGCACTGTCCAAGATCACAGTCCTGCCTGGAAAGAAATAGATGAAAACCAGTGGTTTCACAGATGCCCTTACTTGCACACGACCTGCATTCCAGTGCACGACAAATGGATATGAACCAAAAAGAGAGGATAATGCTAAATATTAAGTGCCAGAGCACTAGCAAGGATCCACTATAACATTTAAGGGTGGGTATTGCAGCAGGCTGGTGACTTTGGATAGGTGTGCGAGACTTGTCTTCCTGGTTCTGGATTGAAAAATTGAGTCACATCATTCATTACAGCACTTAATTGCCATGAAGACAACTAAATGCCACGAAGATGGTGAAGGGACTGGAGCACGTGACGTATGAGAAGAGACTAAGGGAGCTTGGCTTGCTTAGCCTAGAGAAGGCTCAGGGTGCTCTTACCAAAGCATATAAATAACTGATGATGGGAATAACGAAGGTAGAGTGAGATTCTTCTCAGGGGTGTCCAACGACAGGAGAAGAGGCAATGGGTCCTGTTACTTCAAACATGAGAAAAATGTGTTGTTTTCTTTTTCCAGTGAGGGTGATCAGACACCAGGACAGGTTCCCCAGGTAGGCTGTGGAGTCTCCACCCATGGAGAAAGGTGAAGACTCAACTTATGTCCTGAACACACTCTAGCTGACCCTGCTTCAGCAGGCACGGATGACCTCCAGAGGTCCTCCCAAACCTCAGGGATTCCATTATTTCCTGAGCTTTGATAACTGCAAGCAGCAGAATGAGGTACCGGTTTCACAAACTCTTCAAGGTCTCTTCAAAGCGGCAGTTTGTAGGGATGGAAACGGTGCGAGAGGCCATACAACCCCTCTAGTTCCAAGGCACTGCCCTTCATCTCCTGGCGGCTGAGTCCCCACCTCTCACACCCCTCGCTCCCCCATACCGGGAGCAGGCCTGGCTGCCCAGGACCCCACTCCCAGTGGCTCCGCACGGAGGAACTCGGACCAACCCGTGTGTAAACCGGCGGGGACCCGCCATCCTTCCCGACTCTCCTCACCCGGGTGAGGAGCCCTCACGGCTCGGTCCCTCCCTCCCGCCTGCAGGACGAGGAACCCGGGGCCGCTCCCGCCGGGGCTGCCCATTGGCCCGGGCGGGGTCACGTGGCCTTGCCATGCCGCCCGGGGCGCCGCGGCTGCTGCTGATTCATTGGTTGTGACGGGGCGCGGTTCGGTCCGGCTGGGCTCGGCTTCTCTCGGCTGGGCTCGGCTGGCGCGCGGCGCGGCCGTTACCGCCGCCTAGTCAGGTAGGATGGCGGGGGCGGGTGAGGGGGCGGCCGTCACCCCCTCCCCACCGGCTTCATCCCGCCCGGCTCCCCCTCAGCGCCGCCGAAGGGTATTCCTGGGGAGGATGGGAGCGGGGGGGCTGCGCTTTTTGTGGTGTTTCGGGGGTTGGCGGCGCGCACGGACGTGGCCGGTGCGGGTAAGCGCGGTGAGGGGACGGCGCTGTGGAGAGGGGAGTGAAGGAGACGAGGGCGGGAGGGACGGGGCGGCCCGGCCCTGCCTCCCCCGCTCCACGGTAAGGCCCCCGGTCGTGGGTGGGTGGGTGGTCCCGGCTGGACACGGTGTGGAAAGCCCCAGCTTGAGGTGGCGCTGTCCCAGGTCCATGTCATTTTGCCTTTAAAAGGTGATTTCGAGACCCCGACCCGTCGGTTTTCGGCAAGCCTGAAGGTCTGGAGCGCTCCTCTGACTTTAATTTTGTTTAAAATAATTTTAAAAAAAAGCTTGGGGTGGTACCGTTCGTTTGTGTGACGTGGAAAATGCCACCTGTAGAAAGCTCGTGTGTTGTGTTTCTGAATTTGTAGGGGAGCGGTTCCTTCAGATGTTTTGAAATCTGTGTGTTCAAAAGCAAAACAGCTAGGAAGCACGTAGCTTGCTTGTAATAATTGAAAATTAATTTCATTCCCCCCCGAATTGTATATTGGATTTTGCTCTAATTGCTGAACGCTTGGATGAACCTAAAAATTTAACCTAAAATATCTAAAGAGAAAAAAAAGGCAAGAAAAGCAAGATAAGTTTGTGGTGTGTTTGTTGTGGTGGGGTTTTTGCCTTTTTTTTCCCCCCAGATGACATCTCCCTTTGTGCTTTCAGAGCGAAGGGAGGAATGTCTGTCCTCCGTGCAGCCTTAGATTACTTCTGTTCTCAGTCTTGCCCTCTTCCCATTCCCCCATGTGCTCTTCCCTAGTCTTCTGCTGATTCTCATACTCTGTTTTTTTTGTTCCCCTCCTTTCCTTCTCCCCTAACAGTGTCATCTTCACAGTCTCTTCCTCTGGTGAGCAGCCTCTGCTGACAGTGACAGGTACGGTAGGCAGTTCATGTCCCTCTCCTCCTCCTTTTTGCCAGAGATGTTGAAATAAATCACATCAATTACAGACCAGCAAAACTTCCCTCCAAACAGCCTGTGTACACAGGGATGCAGATTTACGTAATCGCTGTGGAAATAAATAGATGTTTTGGTTTTTGCTTGGAGATAATCGGGTAATGGCCTCAAATACTGCTTGTTTTTTTCGTGTCCATTTATGGTTTCCTATTCAGGTTCTTAATCAAAGAGTCTAGATAATTTTTTGCCATTGGGAGTAAGTACCTGGAGAGCTGATAGAGGAATGGCAACTCTCCATTGACTGAGGACAGTCTGGCTCCGTTCTTGCAAAAAATAATGAGACATTCTGGGTATATCAATCACAAGCAAAAATTTATAAATAAACCAAGCTATTGCAAGAGAATACTTTTTTTTTTTTTGAGGGGAAAAAATATCCAGAATATTAAGAACTGGAGAAAGTAATTTACTGACTACTCTTTTGCTGATTTTCCATGTACATTTTGTGGTGGAAGAGGTTTTAAATTGAAGCACAGATGATACTCTTGCAGCTTGTTCAACAGTTTAAATCAAATTTCCAGTCTTTGAAATGAAATAATACCAGCAAATAATGCTGGCAAAACTTTAGGACAAATTTTAGTACAAATAAATTAAGGCTTTATCCTGCATACTCACCGCAGTGGGCCTTGGTTGTACAGTTTTAATGATGTTTCCTTGGTCTCTAGTTCCTTATTTATAACCTGGTGTAGCAAAGGGATGTGGCAGGGATTAAAAATGGGAAAATTCAGACATGTGCTTGTCAGTCTTATGCTGTTGTCTGATTTACCTGAAAAGAAACTTGTATTTGAGGCACTACAATGAATTGTTTGCTACTTCAGCAGCACTGGAAGGAATGATTAGATCTAAAGACAGGAAAAAAACAGTCCTGGTTTGGAAAAATCCCAAACCACTTTGACTTTTAATAGAAAGCTCCCTCTCAGTAACTGAAATTCTCTCTGAACTGATTAAGGCAAAATCTCTGCAAGGTATTGTAGCCTAACTACTAAAGTTCAGAAAATGCTTGTCATTCAAGTGTGGAAATTTTCAAGAGAAGCTGTATTTTTCTTACTTTATTTTGGTAGTTCTTGAGGAAACATAATACATAACTGACTTTTCAAATTGAAAAGCTCAAGTGATATTTTGTGCCTGAGAGATTACCTCTGTGTGAGGGAGAGCATAAACCGAAGATTTATCCACCATAGCAAGTCAAACTGCGGTGTGAGATACCCAAGTGTGGGAGCAGCTCTGAACAAATGGTCTATTTTATTTAGGGTTTTGGAGGTTTTTTTCATCTCTGTCAGTTTATCTTCCACTGGCTTCAACGGAACAAAACTGTTTATGTGCAGAGAGCCACTGAGAAGTGATGCTCTGAGAAGTGTGCCGTGGCCTGTACTTCAGAGCAGATGGACAGTACATGAAGATTGGAATCTTATTTTGTAATGGGAGAGGAGAAATGTGCTCAGCTTCCTCTCTGCTCATTGGCCCTGGCTCTTTGGTGGTTTTTCCACTGAGGCAAAGCCAAAATGGAGCTATGCAATGAGGCCTGAATGCACTTACCCATAACCCTATGGATAGGGTTACATGTGTTAATATACATTCACAGTGAGATTATTTTTTTTTGTTGTTTTCAAGTTTATATCATCTTTTATTTACAAAAAAATTATAGTGGTTGTTCTGTCCCTACTACTGAGGCTTCTTTTTTATTTTATTATTATTATTAATAGGTTCTTAAATGATAACACAAATAGGAGGTATTTTAAAAACAACTCTTAATCTGATGGAGCCGTTCCAGTTGGTGCAGTGGGCTGATCAGTAAGGGTGTGGAGAGAGGGGGGAAGCTTTCTTTTCTCTCTTGCTTTGGATTGACAGACTTCAGGATTAGTAAGGAAAGCAAAACATCCCCGTCTCAGTGCTAAGCCTTCTGTGGGAATAAAGCTAATAAAGCGAGATATTTAATAAAAAAATAAGACTGCTTTGCCAACTGGGAAAATTCAGGAAGATAGTGCAGCCCAAAAGCAGAGGCATTCAGGGTAGGTCAGTTGCAAACTTGCTGTATGATTTACTTCATTAGTGGATATGCTGGAGCTGTTTCACTTGAGGGTTTTCTATAACAGATCACACTTGGACCTCTGAAAGGTTAAAAAATTTGTAGTGTGAAAGGGTTAAAATTGGCAGTATTATAAACAGCTGAGGGAAAGGCAGCTTTTCTTTTGGAAAGTATAGAATATACTTATATGTACCATTTGTAATGTTACAGGACTAAACAGTGTCAGTACCTTAGTGCTTACTGATAGGGCTTCTTCTAGTCTGGTGTGTTTTGAAGCTGCTGTACATGCACATCTGAGAGGAGGTCAACTTTAAGTGAGGAGAGGAAGATGGGCTCAGTGATACCCAGAGCTCTCTCTGAGCAGAGCCTCGCTGTGTTTGCAGCCATGTCTGTGACCCTGCTGCCCCCCAGAAGTGGCTTTAGTGGAGGTTCAGCTGGGTCACGTCTGGGAAAACTCTTGAAAGGATGATCTTCCCTCTTTAAAACTTCCTCAGAAATTTAAACCTCTTATTCAGATGTGGTTTTATCTATTTGTTTTCTCTTTAGAAGAATAGACCTTGCTTAAAAGGCAGGTTTAGTTTTGTTTTCTACTGTGACTATAATAATAACTGCTGTTTGGTTTTTTGTGTAGAGATGTATTACTTAGGTGGAAGGGTGAATTCTTGTAACAACATTTTTTGCCATCTTGAATGTCAAAATGAAATGTTTTCTGAGCTCAACTGAAGCTCAAATTCTTACACTGAAGCCAGATGATGGATTGATTGTGTAATTCTGCCCTAGCTGCAGGAAATAAACGGAATTATGGCTAACACCTCTTTATTATTTGTAGATAATACTGTCTCTTAAGACTGTGTATTCTGGCTGTAATTTTTAAGGCTTTTGGTATTGGAGTTAAGCTAAGCTATTTGCTTCGGTGTGTCTTGGGAGAAAGTCCCTATAGCTCTCTACTACCTGTTGCATGTCCCCTTATTATCAGTACAGGACTGACACTTTAAGAGCAAAAGAAATACATAGCTTTTGTGTTGCCACGTTAGGTATATGAGCGAGCTTATCTAGTGTTTGCTCCCATCTGTTTTCAAATCCATGTCTCTGAACTCGTAATACGGTAGGATTTCACATTCTGCTTAATTTCCAGGTGGCCCCTGCTGAGTTGAACCACTAGGTGGGCATTAGTGCTTGCCTGTATCATTATTACCTCTTAGGAAAATACTTGATAAGCTATTTTGATCTTTTATTTGTTAAATTTTGCTATAAAATCAAGTACAAACAGTAGCTATACTATTAGATGCAAATTGATTATAATAGTGTGGAGACCTCCTTTTATGTTGCAGCACATGCAGTGCAAGACATTAAGCATTAGTACATGGAAAATAAGATCTTTTAATGAGAATTTATATGCCTGGTATTTAAGCAGTTTATTGTTGGAGTCTAGTTTACATTGCACAGTTACAAGGATAATAAAAGGTATGTTACATGATGTGTACTAGAGTGGTATGAGGCACAGATGTCTGACTTTGTTATTTGTCATCCTTACTTCCCAGAATAAGCAGGGGCTAAAGCAGCATTTTTTCTCACCATTGTTATAAAGACCTTTTGTGATGAATCCTGCATCATTCCTTCTATTTTAGTGCAATGGCTTATGCATATGGTGCTGTGGGTAAGCATCAATCACAAACATAGCCAGTGTTAACAGTGGTACTTTCTTTTCTCTCCAAGAAAGGACCCAGGTGTTATACACTCATGGTTAATATGGATGATTGGGATTTTTAAATTTTTTTTCAGTTGTACAGCCAGTTTTCAGTTATCTTTCTATTTTTCTTGCTTAGTATAGCTTGCTTTCCTCTCTTTTATTGCAGACAGGAAGAGTGGATATTCCCTTGAAAAGACCACAAGTTTGATCTCAAATCCTGCACATCTACAATCTTGAGAATTAGCAAGACACAATTGGTTAAGTATTTCCTGCAGATTCCTTTCTCATCTCATTGCTTGTTCAAAGCAACAGCCGTGTAGCAGGGTTTAGAAAGATGGGGTCTGTGTTACCTTTCAGCTCAACGCAGCACAGAGTAAATAAGTTGGTGTTTGCTTTCCTCATTGACTTCTTTCCCTCTGACCTCACCTCTTCCTCCTTGGGATGGAGTAAAAAGGAATATGGTGGTGGTGGGTGATTCCCTTCTTCCCCCATGCAGAATACTGTTGTTAACTTCTCATAGCTAAAAGCTTCTGGGTTAATTGTACTGTCTAGTTGATGGAGCAGGGGGTAATGCTGATCTTTTGCAGACTAGAACTTCTTACACTTCGAACCTTTTATTTCCTGCCTGGCTTTTGGGATCTTCGCAGTTTGCAAGGGGCCAACAGTTTGATTGTTCAGTCTATGAAGACTGTAAAGTGCTTAGACTCTATGGAAATATGTGGAAAACAAACGTAGTTTTTAATTTAAAATTTACTAAGTCGCCTGTGTCTACCTGTGTCTTACCAATTGCATCCTGGGCTGCATCAAAAGATGTGTTGCCAGCAGGTCCAGAGAGGTGATTCTGCCACTTTGCTCTGGTGAGACCTCACCTGGAGTATTGTGTGCAGGTCTGGAGCCCTCAATATAAGAAGGACATGGACCTGATGGAGAGGGTCCAGAGGAGGGCCACAAGGATGATCAGGGGGATGGAGCACCTCTGCTACGAGGACAGGCTGAAGGAGCTGGGGTTGTTCAGCCTGGAGAAGAGGAGGCTCCGGGGAGACCTAATAGCAGCCTTCCAGTACCTGAAGGGAGCCTCCAGGAAGGCTGGGGAGAGCCTGTTTAGAAAGGCCTGTAGTGACAGGACGAGGGGCAATGGCTTCAAGCTGGAGGGGAACAGATTTAGATTGGAGATGAGGAGAGGGTTCTTCACTGTGAGGGTGGTGGAGCACTGGAACAGGTTGCCCAGGGAGGTGGTTGAGGCCCCTTCCCTGGAGATATTCAAGGAGAGGCTCGACGAGGCCCTGGGCAACCTGGGCTAGTTGGGGGTGTCCCTGCTGACTGCGGGGGGGGCGGACTAGATGGCCTTTGGAGGTCCCTTCCGGCCTGGGCAATTCTATGATTCTATACCATATTGGTATTTTCTCTTGCTCCAGAAATGAACAGTACATTGACAGGTCCACGTGGATTTATTCTTGTGTATGCAGGTCAGGTTCTACACCTACACAGAAGCAAACTTGCCTTGGTGGCCCCAGCGGTGGTGTTAGCCATGAAGTTGTGCTTCAGATACAGTGTCTGTCCAGTTTTGCCTTTGCAGTGATTCGGTTTAGAAGGTAAGTGGCTGCAAGCATGGCACAGTGTGCTGATGATGTCCAGCTTGAAGCAAAGTCTGCTGCTGCACTTCAAAGCTGTGGATTTTGCGTAAATTTCACCCACTGGTCAAATTGACTTGCTCGGGTACCACTGGCAAGCAAGATGTGACCTTACAAACTTGCACACAGGTTACAAACAAGTTCTCATGAAGGTGTAATTTGTGGTTGTGTCTCCATGGGGAGTGGCTGGGCACCTGTCAACATCCTTCATCTGCAGAGACCAAACCAGTGCTCCAGAAGGCGGCCATGAGCGCTTGCTTTTTTTTAGTTTCTAGGAGACAGACCTGCCTGAACCTCCTGGCTGGCAGCACTGAGCACAACCCTGCTTTGGGGTTTCTTGAGTGATCAAAGCAAAGCTTTTTGTTGCTCACTTACTTGCTCCTGAAAGAAATGAGCCAGGGTGAGGAAAGGCTGTCTGCATCCATACATGTCAAAGTCAACAGAGGGCCTTTCATGTTTGCATTAAACAACTCCTGTGCCCCCTCAAAAAACCCCCAGCAAGTTCAATGAGATGAGCTCCTTGTCATGCCTCGGAGCTGTGGGATGAATCACTGCTGCCCACTCCAGGCAGAAAGAGCTCTTGAGTGCATCTCCTGGTGGAATTCCTTCCCAGAAGACCTTACCTGGCACCCGCAGTCCCTCCATGACCTGCTGCAGCAGCCCAGCAGATGAGTGTGACAGGCCCCTAACATGCCAGCTCACCCTGCTTTGCTCTTCTTCGGGAGAAGCAAAGCCTTGGTGTTGGCTACTTTAGTTGTGCTGGTCCTTGTTCCGCTGTACAAGGCTGGCTTTTTTAAGTAGAAAAGGTTTGCTTTAACATATTTCAGGCTGAGGTTTCGGAGGCATTTGGACAGACAAAGCTTACAAGTGAGCTGTGAGCTAGTTTGGGACAAAGTTTAAACTTAGATCGTTTAGAGGCACGTTTTTATATTTCCCACAAATCCTGAGGCAAAGGTTTAGCCTGGGAGCTGGTGACCCAGCTTTCAGTGAGCACCTCTCCCTCTGATAGTGGCTTGTCTATAATGTTTCTTGTCTAGAAATGCTTGTACTCAAGCTGGAGCTTCTCAAACACTGTACTCAAACACTGGAGCTTCTAGCCCTAACCTATAAGTAAAACAGGACAGATTCTTTGTGTCCTGGAAGTATCTGTTCTCCCATAAATCATAAATGGACACTAGTGACTAAATTGGGAGAGAGATCTGCATGTGTCCCAATTAATCTTGAGGTGGGAGAAGAAACCTTTGTTGGACTGTTCAGAGACCCCATTCTGAAGTTTTCTGCCTGCAGCCTCCAGTTCAGCTTTTTTTATAACACTAAAAGCAAGGGGGTGACAGTGAACATTGGCGATGCCGTAAGAGAAATATTTAAATGAAAGACTTCTCTAGAAGGCTATGAAAGAGAAAAGCAGTCCTTAAACAGGAATGTGCTAATAACATTTGTCAAGAGCCCTATCGTCAACAAAACACTGAGGAGCAGAAAAAGATGGCAGGAACCCCACGCAACACCAGATGGTCTCTTAGGGCTCAGTCACAAAATAGAATCACAGAATGGTTAGAGTTGGAAGGGACCTTAAAGACCATGGAGTTCCAACCCCCTGCCATGGGCAGGGACACCTCCCACCAGACCAGGTTGCTCAAATGAAAGGCAAGGTCTTGAAAGAGGCAACAGACAGAGCTGAGGTGGCAGCAAACTAGGACAAGAATTTCAGGTTATTCTCTGTGCCGTTTGCTTCTCCCAGAAGGCAACAGTTACCTTAGTTTATTAAAAGCAAGAGAAAAAAGCCACCTAAAGCTTAATTAGATACGCAACAGTTACCTTAGTTTATTAAAAGCAAGGGGAAAAAAGCCTGCCTAAAGCTTAATTAGATATTCTTTCTTTGATTCCAAGATATAAGAAGGTTTTCTAGCCACTGGGAAAGCTAAAGAGGGACTTTGCTGTTAACACAGTCACTTAAAGTTACACTTACCACTTACAGTTGTGTTTTTTAAGGGTTGGAAGTAGGAGATAGGAAACATCCTCAGCAGTGAACTGGATTATCCGTTACAATCATCTATCTCTTTTTCTTCCTCCGTGTTCAGGCTGTTTATTCTTTGTGGGAGCTTTCTGAGTAGCTAAAGGAGAGCGAGGGTGATGTGAAGCTCCTTATCCTGACCCAAGCAAATGAATGGGTTGGTCACTTCTCTCTCTGTTCCCCCTTGTCCCCTCCCTGTTGGCAAATTGATCATTGTGGGTTTGAGTTGAGAAATAGATCCATTTCTTGTTTTAAAGGATTTATCAGTTGCTAGTCAAGTTTTGTTAAGTGCTCAAGGTTCTGAACATTGTAACTGTGTGTGAAGTTTCCTTTTTCGGGCATATATTTATTGTTTATTTAAAATTGTTTTGAGACATTCTTGCCAGTATTTACTCATGGTAAAAAAGTTGCAGAAAGAACTTCCTTACAAATCTGGAAAGCTGTTTATATTGCCTGGGTGAATTTGTATTCATCATTTTGTGCCTGATTCCTGTTTTTTACATATGGCCCTCCTCTTTACTTGCACAGCCTTAGTCAATCTAATTGTTCTTAGGAAGGACTGAAGGTTCAGTTATTTTGAGGGACAGGGGTATTTAAGGCCCTTCTTTTTTAAGAAATTTTATCTGGGTTTGACTTTGTGATATGAGAAGTTTCATTATCCATGGAACAACTAATTGCAATAGTTTTAGGAACTGCATGAAGTCTTAGCCCTGCTGGGTTTTTATTGAATGCAAAATTACCCACAGCTCAATTTGCTTTTACAGAAAGCATTTTGTAATACATTTCAAATTGGATGACTCTAGCTGCTGCAGCAGATGTTTTGCACAGAGGTGTGCTCTCTTTTGGTGTGCATAAAATTGTCTCAATATTCTGGAAAAAAATTACTCTGCAAAATGCAAATCCCTAGTGCAGTGTTGTGGTAATGACAGAAATATCAATCAAGGCAATTTAACAGTGCTTAATGTTGCATTGCAGTTTGGTTAATCTGTAGGGAAAAATCACTCCTGTTTTATTTTCCTTCCACAGTGGCACATTGAAGCTGTTTATTAGCACAGAAATTTAGGTTGGAAAGGACCTCTGGTGGTCGTCTGGTCCAACCTCCTGGTCAAAGCATGTTCAACTAGAGCAGGTAAATGTTTTCCTTGTATCTAATTTCAATTTTCTGTTTCCCAATTTGTGTCCATTGCTTCTTGTCCTCTTACTCTGCATTTCTGAGGAGAGTCTGGCTCCATCATTTCTGCACTCTCTGACTGTAATTATAGCTGTAGACAACACGAAGGTCTCCTGGGAGCCTTCTTTTCTCCAGGCTAAACAAACCCAGTTCCTTAGGCTCTCGTGCATCTGCTCCTTCAGCAGCCTGACCATCTTGGTGGCCTTCCTCTGGACTCACCCCAGCATGTTTTCTGGTATTGGGGACACCAAAACCAGATACAGTCTTACCAGTGGTGAGTAGAGACGAAGAAACACATGGAACCCTTTGAACCTGGTGGTGTCCAGCCATTTCTCCATCCTAGTTTTTATGGCAGCGTTCACCCTAAGCTGCTGAGGCTGGTGGTTTGTGGTATTTACTATTTTTTTGAGCTATAAAAGCTATATTCAGTCTGAGGAGCCTGCGTTTGTACCTGTGTAAGCTTAAAGGCATCTGTGTGGAAGTGAATGTAGATTCTCTTCTTTCCATTGAAGAGAAGCTCGGTGTTGACTGGTAGTTGTCCAGCAAAGACTGGGGGAGGAATGGGAGGGAATGTGGTGGCCTTGTGTGATGGGATACTGCATTTTAAAGGCACAGGTGAGAGAGAGCCTGTGTGAACATCAGTGGCTCTTCTTGGGAACAGTGGCAAGGAAGAGGTCCCATGAATAAGAAAGGATTCTGTATAAAATCAAAAGATGCTCTAGAAATGTGTAGTCTCTATTAACGCATTTCCTATCCACAGGTGTGTATTTATTTAGGTGCAAGATGTCTGCCCTGAGGCTGATTTCCAACAGAACCTCCCAGCAGGCCTTGTCTGACTCTGATTACACCTGGGAGTACGAGTACTATGAGTATGGACCGGTGTCGTTTGAAGGCCTGAAGGCTCATAAATGTAAGTTCAGTGGAGATACACTCAACTGCAGCTCAGCTTCTCCGTCTTCATGTTCCTACTCTTCATTTGTAACTGATTATTGTACAAAAATATAGCTTCTAATTTTTTGGATTCTGACCAGTTGGAGTTATTACTCTGTTTATTAGGTTATTATTATAGTTTATGATTCTGTGTCTTTTTATTGATTACTTCTCTTGTGCATGAGAGAACCGTGGATTTCTTGTCTGTGGTAGAAATTTGTCAATACTGAGGAAAGTCAGAGGATGAGCAACAATTTATAACAGCAAATACAGCTGCTGCTGCTGCTTCTGGTAACTGCTTGGTATGATGTGTTTTGCTCTGTTCTTGTTCCTGTTAATACTAAAAGAGCAGTGGTGAGCAGCCTTACTGCTTTTGTTTATCTTCATAAAAAATAAGTTTAAGGCTAGAAAAGATTTAAAATAAGAAGTTTCTCTTTCTGAAGAAACTTCTATTATTAGGACTTCACAAGTGGAGTGTGCTAAATTGAGCATTCTGTTAATACTGGAGCTATCAGTAGGTGGGACAGGCTAGTACAGCTGGACCAACACTTATCTCAAGTCTAGGCTCTTGAAGAGTAAGTTTTGACTCTTCACAGATTAACAGAATGCTATAGGGTTGGAAGGGACCTCTGGAGATCCTCTAGTCCAACCCCCTGCCAGAGTAGGTCCACCCAGAGCAGGTCCCACAGGAACGTGTCCAGGTGGGTTTGGAATGTCTCCAGAGAAGGAGACTCCACCACCTCTCTGGGCAGCCTCTGCCAGGGCTCTGCCACCCTCACAGGAAAGAAGTTCCTCCTCGTGTTTAGATGGAACTTCTTACATTCAAGTTTGTGCCCATTTCCTCTAGTCCTGTCCCTGGGCACCACTGAAAAAAGCCTGGCCCCATCCTCCTGACACCCACCCTTGAAGTATTTATAGGTGTTGATCAGATCCCCCCTCAGCCTTCTCTTCTCCAGACTAAAAAGACCCAAGTCCCTCAGCCTCTCCTCATAAGAGAGATGCTCCAGGCCCCTCAACATCTCTGTATCCCTCTGCTGTTTTGCAAGCCCATGCCAAAGAGAAGGAAATCATTCCAATTTTTTGTTTCTGAGCTGGATATGCTGTGAGAGGGTTTGAGCACTGGTCTTCAAAGTCTTGGGGAAGGGTCTCCATCCAGTGCTGGGGCACTGGTCCTGTGTGGGATACCTGCTGTCTGCCTCATCCATCGTGATGAGGATTCTGATTCCTCTTGAATGCTCGCAGCAGCAATCAGTAGCCCAGAAAGGCTGATCTCTCTGGCTCTGCACAGTCAGGAGGTTTGGGGAAGACTAAGGGTCAGAAGAAACTTGATGAAGTTCTTAATACTTTTAAAAGAACTAGAGCAGAAGTTGCTTTTTAGCCTGAATTGTATTTTACCTTATTTTTTTTTTTCCCCAAAGTCTAATGATTACTGTCTGCATTTTTACAAATGTTAGGTACTTGAAAAATGTAGGTTAGCTTTTATTATGTTTCTAATTTATATTCCATTCTTCCACTTAATCAGAGGCCAAACCTGATTACAAAGATCACTGATTAGTTGCGGTGTTATGTACGTGCCTTCTTTTTAGCTCGGTGTGTCAAAGAGTGAGTGTGAGGAGAAAAAAAAAAACAGTTACCTTTGGATTGGGGAATGCATAAGCTCATGGGCTTTTTTTTTTCAGGTTTTTTTTTTTTTTTTTTGTATTCTCAGAGGGCTAAGTTTAATCTAGTAAAGGAACAGTCTATGTCTGTGTTGTGGATGCCATGATATTTCTTGACATGGAATGTTCTAGATCTGTCTCTTGTTCTAGCTATTTCCAGCGGAGTTGAGACTGTCGAGGAATGTGGACAGACATTTAACTTCACTAAAATCCTAACCTGGGGAGGAAGGAGAAGAGCTTACACTGGGGTTGTATTAGGAGGGAGGCTGTGAATACTGACAAATCTTTTTTTTTTTTTTTATTCATTGATTTGGGTTTTGGGTTTTTTTTGCACGTAAGAAATCTTAAATCTTACAGCCTTTGGCACAGTTGCAAGTAGGCTTATTTTAAGCCTCTGATAACAAACATAAATTTTGTAGAGGCACAAATGGTGATGTTGGGGCTTTGTAGATGTGTTACCACTTGGAAATACTCTGTCTCCTTCTGGTGTGTTGTTATAACTTTGGTGATAGGGGTGGAATTCAAACCAGTAACGGAAACTGAGGTGAAAGCAATGAGAGAGGCTGCTTGGGTGAGGTGGCTACAGTGTGGAGTTAAAATAGTGCTGTTGGCTCAGCTGTATGTTGTACACAAAGGGATAAATGGCCTTGACCAGTTGGTGGGGAGGTGTGTCCAGAAAAGAGTCTAAAAGAAAGGAAAACAGCAAAACCAGAGAAGGGGTGTTAATGAATGGCTGTAACTTGTGTTGGAGGGGGAGCAGGCTCCAGTTTGGGTGCTGCAGGCTGGCACTGGCAGTTGGCCAGCTGTAAAACATCACTGGCCTGTCTTAAAATTAAAGGTGTGTGGGTTTTATTTTTATTCAATTTATATTTACTTGATCAGACTTTACATTCCAGGCTCCAGTTTGGGTGCTGCAGGCTGGCAGTAGCAGTTGGCCAGCTGTAAAACATCACTGACCTGTCTTAAAATTAGGGGTGTGTGGTTTTTATTTTTATTCAGTTTATCTATTTATGATACACAAAATATTTCACCCAACGTGAGGCCACTGTTTTGAACCATAAGGTAAGATGAACTCCACAAGAGAAAAAAGTTGGAGGCCACTTTCACATCAATGTTGATTTAATTAATTGTAGGCAAGTGGAAGTTCCTAATATTCAATGTATATACTCAGAAGCCTGTTTTCTGAAAGCAAAGTAAAATTTATCAAAGTAACCTTTGGAAAAAAAATACTGACAAAACAATCTAATACACAAAAATGCATTTCTTAAAAACAAAAGAGTCTGTCTTGGGAAGGAAAGGAAGGATGATATTGCAACTTGGGAAGGTTGCAGGATACTTTCCCAATCTATTTGTAACTCGGGACAGTGTTGTAGATGCAGTCCTACATACTATATTTCTTGAATAAATGTTGTGCTATGTACTGTTTATTTTGAATAAATATTTAGAAGTTAGTTTGTTTCAATAATTTGCACTTAAGTTAGTGAGACCTAAATTAAATACTGAAGAGAACTCAGGCCACCATTTAATTTTAAACAAATCCCAAGAATGTAATTGATGCAGCGGAGGGTTGTAAGTGCGTGAGGAGCCGCAATAAATCGAGGAAGATGTAGCTCTAGGTTCAATATACTTGAGAATTCTGTTGGAGGTGGGGGAAACACCAGCCACAGGTGTGATTTTTGTGAGGAGGAGTATATCAGAATCTTGATTTTATTTTATTTTTTTGTTATTATTATTTTTTCTTAAGTTTTTTCCTTAGTTGATGAGTGATGTTTTTCAGCTTGATGAATATAATGTAGGTGCATATTTCTGAAGACATCTTACTTGATCAGACTTTACATTTTGCTTATCAATGCAGTTGCATGTCACTGAAGGATGTTTGAATAACACTGCTTATCAATGCAGTTGCATGTCACTGAAAAACTGGTAGGTAATAGTAGCTATAAATGGTTAAGCAGTAAATTTTTTAATGGGAGTATTTCTTTTTAGATTAAATATTCAGGTAGTTCAAAGTCTGGTAGGATGGGAGATAGTCACGAGCTATTGTGTATTAGCCAAACACACAACACATCTTGAGCCACTGAATAGTCTATACTAATAGAATGAATGATTCTGAAAGTAATTAAAGGTTCATAATGCATGGAATTACAGAAATAAACTCATACCAATATGCTTTAAGCATGAAAGAGTATTACAGACTCCCTCCCCCCACCATGGAAACCTATACTCAAACCACCCTCTAGATATTTTTCAAAGGGTGTTGAGAGGGGGAGATGTGGGAGAGGAGAGATGGAATAAACATTGCAGTGAGAGACTTGAAACTGAACCTCCTTAGCTTACTAGAAAAAGGGATTAAGGAGTGACTTGATTGTGATAAAGTATTTTCACAGGGAGAAAATCTCAAGTTGCAGCAGGCACTTTGACTTCACAAAGAGCAAATGGTTTGAATTGATTTCCAGTTTCCAGATCTGCCTTTTAAGGTGGAAGATACTTCACAGCGGGAGCGTGATTAACTGTTGGGGTCAAGCACCAGGCAGGATAGCTGGTTCCTTGTTTGCTGGTGTCTTTAGTTAGTCCTGTAGGAGATTCAACACAGTGGCTAAAGCTCTGTGCTCTGCACTGGGTCAGACGTAGCTCTACAGCTGCCATTGATCTTCAAGGATCAGCAGTAGATGTGCAGTGAGAGGTTAAGAGTAGGTAGGATATCTGTCATGACCCAAGACTTCCCTCTTGCATGTTTATATTAAAAAAAATAATTAACATACACTGAATATTTGCATAGACAAAAAATAACTAACTAAAATGACAGGTAAAAAGCACCTGTGTGCTGTGGGTCCTGGACCAGGTCATATTTTGGGTTGGTGCTTTGTAACTTTGGGCTGTGCTTATCAATTGACTGTTGAGCCTCCTTCAGGAGCAACTGGGGATCTACTCAGAAAGCATAAACAGACATAGATTTATTTTAAGTAGACTGGTGATTTATCTATGGGTCAGTTTGCCATAAATGAGAACAGTAAGTACATTTTATGCACACAGGCAAAACTCCACGTTTTTGCTAATTGCTTCTATATTTGGCTATTACATTGGTGTTTTAATTAACTGGTGGTTTAACTTGTTTTTTCCAAATGTGTTTGGTTCCCCTGACATTGTATTGCAGTTTTCTGTAGGCGAGTTGGAAACCCAAATCAAAAAGTATTACAAAATGTATTGTATATGTTGGTTATTGATATTTGTTGAGATCTTGGATATAACTATTTGCTGTTCCACTTATTTCAGAACTCTATCTTACCACTGAAAGAGAGCTACATCTTCTTAAACCTGTTGTGTCAAAGAAATCCATCAAAACCTAGAAACCTAATGGTCTCAGCCAGAAATCATCTAAAATAGCGGTTCAGTTCTACAGGGACAAAGAGGTTATTGCTCAAAATCAAGTAATTCTCTTTTCTGAGTTCTAGCACTGAAGTTGCTTCCAAAGCAAAGCTTGGATAGATCTTGGATATAACTATTTGCTGTTCCACTTATTTCAGAACTCTATCTTACCACTGAAAGAGAGCTACATCTTCTTAAACCTGTTGTGTCAAAGAAATCCATCAAAACCTAGAAACCTAATGGTCTCAGCCAGAAATCATCTAAAATAGCGGTTCAGTTCTACAGGGACAAAGAGGTTATTGCTCAAAATCAAGTAATTCTCTTTTCTGAGTTCTAGCACTGAAGTTGATTCCAAAGCAATGCTTTGACGTGGGCTGGGCGTCACAAAGGGAGCTGCTCTTATTTTACTAACCAAGAGAATTCAGTGCCTTCCCAATTTCATTTTGTTCCTGGTTTGTCCAGGCATCAGTAAAATTTGGGGCTAGAAATGAGAGCTTCAGTGGCAGCTTTCTGTATAAAGATAAATCTGATTGTTCTTCCTCTTTGCAATCCAGGAATAAGATGCAAAATCTTTTGGGATTTGCAGCTGTGCTGTATGTGGAAGGGAGCTTTCTGCAAGTGCAGGTGTGAAATACTGATCATCTTGTTTTCTCTCTTTTTTTTTTTTTTTTTTTTTTTCCTAGCTTTAATATTTTAAAACTTAAAGGAGAACATAAAAAAAAATTTTCTTTTTTTTTTTTTTTTTTTTTTTTTTCCCCCCACCAGATTCGATTGTGATTGGATTTTGGGTTGGTCTTGTGGTTTTTGTCATCTTCATGTTTTTTGTCCTGACCCTGCTGACGAAGACGGGAGCACCACATCAAGAGTGAGTCTAAAAAGTGGAATTTGGAAACAAATCCCACCTGCGACATGTTCTTTCGAAGCCCCCAAAGCAGCAGTGACAGCACTGACCTTGCGCTGGCCCAGCACCACCTCGTCCTACTCTGTTCTCATGAAAGGCTGTCATCTATCTTTGTTTCAAATAATCTTTCTTCCAAGCACTTCCAGGCACTCAAAACCAGAACTGCAGGCACGCAGGAAAAAGGGAATGTGCATTTTCATGGTAAAAGGCAGACAGGCTGCTAAACAGGTGGTTTTAGATTACTGTTCTGTGAAGAAATCGGGTCATTTTAGGTAGGCTCACATTATGATGGAGTGGAACAGAGCTAATATTGACAGAGTATATACAAATAAAATGCAGTGCAGATGTTAAATTAAAGAAGTTGGATGGTTTCCACGTGGATGTGTGTCCAAACCCAAAAAGTAGATGTTGGTAGTATGTACAAAACCTTCCCTTAAACTTGTGGCTCCCCAGAGTGTCTTCGTTTCTGCGGAGAAATTGCAGTTGGTGCTGAAATACCGATCAGCCCATATTTAACACCAGAGTCCCCAGCTCTTTCCAGCTGATAACTATGTGCAGCCCCTGCCTTGCCTCAGCCATTTATCTGTGTCTGTGCAGCACGTGGGCTGTCAGAGTCCCTTCCTCTGAGAAAGTCTGAACCTGTGTCTCCTCTCAGGCTTGTGTGCCCTAAAGCAGAAATAAAAAGCCTCTCTGGAGAGCGCGATCGCGTGCAGGCAGGTAGCGATGATGAGAAGCTGATTGTGAAAAGCAATTGGTGCTTATCACTTCCTAAAGCAGCCTGTTTCTGTCTGCTGAGGGCCCTTTGCTATTTAGTCAGATGTAGACTAGGTCTGAAACTTCAGGTAATAGCACATCTGCAGGGGCTGGGCCGTGTTAGGGAGGGGACACACGTCTATCGTGAACCTCTTCTGTGCTCCTCAGCTTTTGCTTCTGTGAGAAGGAAATAGAGAGGCAGAAGAATTCAGCTTCCCAGAACTGACTTGCTGAATTTCATGGCTGGTATTTTTTGCCTCCCTTACAGACTGTCCTAAAGTAGCCATAGTCTGCTCCCAAATCTATCCCAAGTCCTTGTAAGGGATGGTGTGAGGCCTCTTTTCCCTGGAGATCTTGTTTCTCAGCTGAGCATCTAAGCCTGTACCCCACGTGAATAATAATGAGAGAGGAAGAAGTGATGAAACCAAAAGTATAACAAAGAGAATTTAATGTGGATATTTGTCAAAAGCTTGTAGACTTGTAAAAATGTCCTTTCAGGTAGCAGAGGGCTTCTTGGAATCTCCTGCTGTGTTTCTGCTTTCTTCATCCATTTTCTTGGAACAGGTTGCCTAGGGAGTTTCTGAAACCTCTTTTTGGTCAACTTTTTTGGTCAACTTTTCCATCCAGATAACCTGATCTGTATTAAGGGTTGGCCTTGCCGTGAGGAGGGCATTAGGCTTAGAGACCTCCAGAAGTCCCTTCTGATCTAAATCTTAATAAGACTTTTCTTCAGTTGCTGAAGAGACCCTGTTAGGTCCCAGTCCAGTTTCTCACAGAGCCCAGTTATTCTTTTCTGTATTTATTTTAAGCTTCTTTTGCAGCTTTGGGAGGTGCATCCTTGAACACTTGCCCAATTATGATGTATGCTGATTTGGCACCCTGAAGAAATTTGAGCACTATTTTTTTGAGATTTGGTAACCCGATGTGTATGATACTGGATTATGCTACGGGTAGAGAATAGTGTTATTTCCTCTTTATTTTTGACACACGTGTATAAAAACTGGAGAACACAAACAGCTACCAGTGCAGGTGGTGGTTCTGGTTTGCCTCTCTCTTTATACCTGCCTGGATTCTTGGTGACTCATGGTTTCATTAGCGGGCTGTCTTGCAGCTCTCCTTTAGAAATAGATGTTAATGGGGTTCCTAGGTCTTGGGAGGAAGCCAGGCTGATTGATGGACGTGTCTCTGACTTGGGTTAAGTCAATTTGGCTGTTCTTTAAAGTGCCATTAGCTTGAGAGGGAAGTGTAGCTGGGTTCAGATGGATGGATCCAAAGTAGAGTACTCTGATTTTTCTAGTAGTGTGCTTTTCTTGGCTCCATATAAAGGGGTATGATAGCACATCCTTTTGAAAATTGTACAAGCTCTTCAGAATTGGGTACAGCCTTAGACCAGAAAAGAAAAGGGTCAAGATACAGGATGGGGAGAGGTAGAAGTTTATTTAGTTGTGTAAATGGTTCCCCTTTGCACTGTTCTTTTGTTTGCTTGCCCATTAGTATGTGTAGAACATCAGCTTGTGTTGACAATCTTCTGGAATTTTTGCCTGAAAAGTAGTCTCATTCAGCACTCAGGAGAAAGTAGCACGCTATGTTCGTTCCTGCTTTTAAAAATGTCCTTAAAAATGCATTTGTGCAGCAAATTCATACGTTCCTGTGACTTACCTGCACAAAATACTGGCTGGTGTTTTCTCAAAGCTTCATGCAGCTACTGAGGCAGGTTGTGCAATTCGCTGCAGTAAAGGTAAAATGACTGAGACTTTGATTTAAGAAATCAGTTGGTTTCAGTTAAGGATTCTGGGGTGAAATTGACTCGGAGACAGGCAGATCCACTGAAACAAAACCTCCTTCTACAGATACACGTATGTGTTTTCTGAAAAACTGATCCAGGGAAGGTTTCTCAGGTTTGTGGTAGCACTTCTGGCTTGGGACCAGGGATCTGTTCAGAGCCCCCGAGTCCCCTTTGGGATGCCAAATCCTGCTATTTTGAAGGATTGGCTACTTATTCCTTTCCCTGATTTGCCAGCTACTCCAGGTCACTTCAGGGAGTGTTGAGAGAGGGGTGTTTAAGCTATAGAGGAATCTCAAGTGTCAATACCAAACCAGTAAGCCCCTATTAGTATACAGAATCTCAAGTGTCAATACCAAACCAGTAAACCCCTATTAGAAGAGTATATTGGGCAAAATGGTCTGTACCCTGACAGGGCACTCAGATGCAGTGGGCAGAGTCATGGAGTCACAGAATGGTTCAGGTTGGAAGGGACCTTAAAGATCATCCAGTTCCAACCCCCTGCCCTGGGCAGGGACACCTCCCACCAGACCAGGTTGCTCCAAGCCCCATCCAACCCAGAGCTTAACTGTAAATCCCACAGACCAGAACCCAGCATCACGGACTGGGAGATGGCCAGAAAAGGGGGCTTGGGGCAGTTCACTGGCAAACCCAGTACCTCATTCCAGTCCCTAAAGGGGCTACAGGAGAGACAGGGAGGGACTCTTTATCAGGGAGTGGAGAGATAGGATGAGGGGTAATGGTTTTAAACTGGAAGAGGGGAGATTTAGATTAGATCTCAGGAAGAAATTCTCTCCTGTGAGGGTGGTGAGACACTGGAACAGCCCATTCCAATGCTTAATAACACTTTCAGTGTCAAAATTTTTCCTACCATCCGATCTGAACCCCCCCTCTGGCACAACTTGAGGCATTTTCTCTTATCCTAAATAGTTCTACTTCCGTGCTGACTGTGTTTTTCTTTTTCCTCCTTAGCAACGCAGAGCCCTCCGAAAAAAGATTTCGCATGAATAGTTTTGTGGCAGATTTTGGAAGACCCCTGGAGTCAGAGAGGGTCTTTTCTCGGCAAATAGCTGAAGAATCCCGCTCCCTTTTCCATTTCTGCATAAATGAAGTGGAACATTTGGACAAAACAAAACAAAATCAGAAAGGTCCAGGTCTGGAGACTAATATCCACTTCCAGGAAGTTCCTAGGAGCAGTGGGATGTTTGAGGAGGACCTCAGTTGTCACACCAAATTTAACATCCCGAACTTTGTGAACACGGAGCAGAACTCTTCGCTGGGTGAGGACAATCTCCTCATCTCCGAGCCACCCATCATTTTGGAAAGCAAATCGGTGGCGCAGTCTTCCCACCGCGTCCTTGACTGAAAAGGCTTTGGTTTGAAGGGAGATGTTCCCGTTGTTGTGTGGTTTAAGGCCTTTTGTGACCTTCTGGTATTTTGATGGAAGCTATTTCAGACCTCTGCTTTTTATTGTCCATAAGACTGGTTGTGCTGACAGAACTTAGATGGAAATAAAACACTTGAGTGCATTATTCTGATGCCTTCTGTGGTCTGAACCTTCTGCCCAGAGTTATTTTAACTTCCTGATTATTTTTTTTTGGTTTATTTTTGAATGACTGCTTGTATCTAGCTTCTGAAGGATACTGTAAGAACTTGCAGGGACTGTGAAGGCTGGAGCCTAGTGTTGGGAAGTGCATGAAAACTCCTCAGCCAAGAAAAGTTGTCAACCTCAAATTAAAGACTAAAATGGGGAAACCCCTGGGAAGATTCTGCATCTTCTGCTGCTCCCAAAAAGGACACCTGAAATGGAGCATTGTAAGGGACATCTGCTTGGCATTAACTTCAGCTTCTGATTCCTGCTTTTATGACCTGCTTTTCGGTGCAGGTTAAACTTGTGTCACAAAGCTTACAGAGGGAATACCTTTACTGTTAAATTGTTGGGTTGCAGTCTTTACAAAATGCTACCACCACCTGCTGCTGAGGAAAAGAAAATTGGTGCCTGTAATTATAGCACTTCAGAGTGATATTCCGACAGCTGCCCGGTGATGATCTGCAATTAGTGTTCTACACAAACAGTAATTTGATCTCGTTTTGGTTTGGTGCTTTGTTTTGTGGGTTTTTTTAAATGGCTGACACGAAATTCCAGTTTGGTGAGTGCAGGATTTGGTAGCTAAATCACAGGAAACTCAGATGAAATCTGTTCTTTTTGCCAATAGAGTTACTACTTGCACGTGGTGGTGGTAGGTCAAGCTGGTGTTATGTTTTGCTTTGAGGCTGAACCTTCCTGTGCTTTTTGGCTCTAGAGCAGCACTTTCCTGACTAGTGGGGCCAGTGAAGGGCTCGTAGGCTGTGACCTGCTGAGGGGACCAGCTTCAAAGGCAGAGCTGAGCTGCACCAGCTCCATCTTCTTTTCGTATTTGATTGGGCTGGTGTTGCAGCTACTGCTGTTGTCCCAGAGGAGGGCTTGTTAAGGGGTTGTATAGGTGTAATTTCAACTGTGAAGCTTATTGAGAGAAGGAGTAAGGTTCTGAGCCTCACCAATACTTGAAGGAAGCTGAAACTTAACATCTTCTTCTTGTATTTGATTGGGCTGGTGTTGCAGCTACTGCTGTTGTCCCAGAGGAGGGCTTGTTAAGGGGTTGTATAGGTGTAATTTCAACTGTGAAGCTTATTGAGAGAAGGAGTAAGGTTCTGAGCCTCACCAGTACTTGAATTATGTTTCAGCTTCTTCAAGAGATGGGTAACTAATGGCCAAATGGGTTTATGGCAAGCACAGAGAGAAGGAGTAAGGTTCTGAGCCTCACCAGTACTTGAATTATGTTTCAGCTTCTTCAAGAGATGGGTAACTAATGGCCAAATGGGTTTATGGCAAGCACAGGGGTTGCAGAGGAACCAGGATCAAATCCTGTGTTGGACTGGGAGTAGGAATGCTCTGTAGGATGTCCTTAACTGAAAGGAAACGTGTGGATTTAAGATCATAAAATCACAGAATGGTTTGGGTTGGAAGGGACCTTAAAGACCATTGAGTTCCAGCCCCCTGCCCTGGGCAGGGACACCTCCCACCAGGTTGCTCCAAGCCCCATCCAGCCTGGCCTTGAACCCCTCCAGGGATGGGGCAGCCACAGCTTCTCTGGGCAACCTGGGCCAGGCTCTCACCACCCTCACAGCAAAGAATTTCTTCCCGAGATCTCATCTAAATCTCCCCTTTTTCAATTTAAAACCGTTACCCCTCATCCTGTCACTCCACTCCCTGACAAAGAGTCCCTCCCCATCTCTCCTGTAGCCCCTCCAGATACTGGAAGTCTGCTTTAAGGTGTCCCTGGAGCCTTCTCTTCTCCAGGCTGAACAACCCCAACACTCTCAGCCTGTCTTCATAGCAGAGATGCTCCAGCCCTCTGATGATCTTTGTGGTCCTCTGCTGGACCCTTTCCAACAGGTCCATGTCCTACCTGAGTTGAGGGCCCCAGAGCTGGACACAGTACTCCAGGTGGGGTCTCACCAGAGTGGAGCAGAGGGGTAGAATCACCTCCCTTGCCCTGCTGGCCACGGTTCTTTTGATGCAACCCAGGATGGGGTTGGCTTTCTGGGCTGCCCTTAATGTAGTGTGGTCTTCACACTCCTCCTCACCCACCAGCTCAGCACCAGGGAACGAGGAGTTTCCCTCAGCTCAAGGCACACAGCTTCGAGCCAGGGATTTCTCTCTGCTGAGCTCACATGAGCAGGAGAAATGCCATCTGCCCGTCAGCCACGTGCTTCAATTTAGAACAAACGTAACTGAGGATTACTTGCAGAGGGTTTGCTGCCCCCCTGACCCCCACCCCGTTATGTATGTGCAGCTTGAGAGGAGGGGGAATGAGGCTCTTGTTTTCTTTCTAAGCCCGTGTCTGAAAAGGAAACTCTCCCTTGAGGTCTTTTTTCAAAAAAGCAAATTCTACACCAAATCTGTAATCAGATACAAATAGGAATGAACTCCCGAAGCAAAGGCAGCCAAAGGGAGCTTTTCCTCTTGAAAACCCCTTTCCCACCTGGCCAAGAAGTCCCCACGTATGCCTGGCACCATGGGTCAGCCCTTCCCGAGTCACCCATGAGGGTCCCCCCTGGTGCTCAAGCGTTGACTCACAGCTCCCTTGAGTCTTGGTTGTGGCTGCATCGCTTTGACCTTCCCAAAATGTTTCAGGTGAGAGGGGAGGAAAGGCATGTACCTCTAGTCCTGCAGATTTACATACCTTGTCTGCCTGGAGTGGAGCTTATAGCCTGAGTGCTTTGGAAAGAAGCTTCTTGGATCTCTGCCAGAACATACCAGCCTTGTGTGTGAAGGAGAAGGTGGTGTTTGCTAGTCCTTTTGAAACGCTTGTTGGTCGCAGCTTCTACCGTACCTCCTCATAGGGTTATTTGCTCTGTCCTAGTTTAAGATTTGTTGTTGGTGATTGTCTCTGTCGTTGGTTCCCCCCAAGTTCTACCCATGATGTAGTAATCAATCAAACCTATGAAAACTAGCTTTCCAGCTCCTACCTGCTTTAACCATTCTGGAGGTCCACTTTGGTGAACTGAAGAAAATGTTTGTTACTGCTTTATAGCTTTATAAACACAATCATGTTTGCACACAAGAAAGAGACAAGCCCCTCTTACTTGCTCTTCATCTGCACTGAAAGGCAGCTTGGGCAACTGTTATTGTAAACATCAGTGAAGTGTTGCCATCTCGTTTTTGACTAATGAGAATATGTCACCAAGAGGAATCTTGGAGCACAGGCTATTGTTGATGCCTCTTGTTCACATTCCACTATCAAGAAGGCTGCTGAACTCAAGCGTGATTGAGAGTCTCTCGAGGATGACCCTGGGCTTGGGCATCAAGTGAGAGGTCATTTTTTCCAAAGAGATGTCACCCCAAGTTAAACACTTGGAAAAGACAAGCCATGGTGATCTCTTGTGGAGCTAAACCAGAGACCTGGATTTCTTCAGTGAATGCTTGTTATGTATTTCACTCTTTGAAGTACATTCATAAGATGCTTACATGAGTCGTTCTCTTGGTTTGAGGTTTTTATTGCTGCAGTATGGGTAGGTGAAATGAAACTAATTGCAGACTGCTCAAGTAAAGAAAGGAGCAGAAATAACACTTGCAGAGAAAGACGGAATCTCTCTTTTTTTTTTTTTTTTTTTCCCCCCACCAGATTCGATTGTGATTGGATTTTGGGTTGGTCTTGTGGTTTTTGTCATCTTCATGTTTTTTGTCCTGACCCTGCTGACGAAGACGGGAGCACCACATCAAGAGTGAGTCTAAAAAGTGGAATTTGGAAACAAATCCCACCCGCGAAATGTTCTTTCGAAGCCCCCAAAGCAGCAGTGACAGCACTGACCTTGCACTGGCCCAGCACCACCTCATCCTACTCTGTTCTAATGAAAGGGTGTCATCTATCTTTGTTTCAAATAATCTTTCTTCCAAGCACTTCCAGGCACTCAAAACCAGAACTGCAGGCACGCAGGAAAAAGGGAATGTGCATTTTCATGGTAAAAGGCAGACAGGCTGCTAAACAGGTGGTTTTAGATTACTGTTCTGTGAAGAAATCGGGTCATTTTAGGTAGGCTCACATTATGATGGAGTGGAACACAGCGAATATTGACAGAGTATATCCAAATAAAATGCAGTGCAGATGTTAAATTAAAGAAGTTGGATGGTTTCCACGTGGATGTGTGTCCAAACCCAAAAAGTAGATGTTGGTAGTATGTACAAAACCTTCCCTTAAACTTGTGGCTCCCCAGAGTGTCTTCGTTTCTGCGGAGAAATTGCAGTTGGTGCTGAAATACCGATCAGCCCATATTTAACACCAGAGTCCCCAGCTCTTTCCAGCTGATAACTATGTGCAGCCCCTGCCTTGCCTCAGCCATTTATCTGTGTCTGTGCAGCACGTGGGCTGTCAGAGTCCCTTCCTCTGAGAAAGTCTGAACCTGTGTCTCCTCTCAGGCTTGTGTGCCCTAAAGCAGAAATAAAAAGCCTCTCTGGAGAGCGCGATCGCGTGCAGGCAGGTAGCGATGATGAGAAGCTGATTGTGAAAAGCAATTGGTGCTTATCACTTCCTAAAGCAGCCTGTTTCTGTCTGCTGAGGGCCCTTTGCTATTTAGTCAGATGTAGACTAGGTCTGAAACTTCAGGTAATAGCACATCTGCAGGGGCTGGGCCGTGTTAGGGAGGGGACACACGTCTATCGTGAACCTCTTCTGTGCTCCTCAGCTTTTGCTTCTGTGAGAAGGAAATAGAGAGGCAGAAGAATTCAGCTTCCCAGAACTGACTTGCTGAATTTCATGGCTGGTATTTTTTGCCTCCCTTACAGACTGTCCTAAAGTAGCCATAGTCTGCTCCCAAATCTATCCCAAGTCCTTGTAAGGGATGGTGTGAGGCCTCTTTTCCCCAGAGATCTTGTTTCTCAGCTGAGCATCTAAGCCTGTACCCCATGTGAATAATAATGAGAGAGGAAGAAGTGATGAAGCCAAATGTACAACAAAGAGAATTTAATGTGGATATTTGTCAAAAGCTTGTAGACTTGTAAAAATGTCCTTTCAGGTAGCAGAGGGCTTCTTGGAATCTCCTGCTGTGTTTCTGCTTTCTTCATCCATTTTCTTGGAACAGGTTGCCTAGGGAGTTTCTGAAACCTCTTTTTGGTCAACTTTTTTGGTCAACTTTTCCATCCAGATAACCTGATCTGTATTAAGGGTTGGCCTTGCCGTGAGGAGGGCATTAGGCTTAGAGACCTCCAGAAGTCCCTTCTGATCTAAATCTTAATAGGACTTTTCTTCAGTTGCTGAAGAGAGCCTGTTAGGTCCCAGTCCAGTTTCTCACAGAGCCCAGTTATTCTTTTCTGTATTTATTTTAAGCTTCCTTTGCAGCTTTGGGAGGTGCATCCTTGAACACTTGCCCAATTATGATGTATGCTGATTTGGCACCCTGAAGAAATTTGAGCACTATTTTTTTGAGATTTGGTAACCCGATGTGTATGATACTGGATTATGCTACGGGTAGAGAATAGTGTTATTTCCTCTTTATTTTTGACACACGTGTATAAAAACTGGAGAACACAAACAGCTACCAGTGCAGGTGGTGGTTCTGGTTTGCCTCTCTCTTTATACCTGCCTGGATTCTTGGTGACTCATGGTTTCATTAGCGGGCTGTCTTGCAGCTCTCCTTTAGAAATAGATGTTAATGGGGTTCCTAGGTCTTGGGAGGAAGCCAGGCTGATTGATGGACGTGTCTCTGACTTGGGTTAAGTCAATTTGGCTGTTCTTTAAAGTGCCATTAGCTTGAGAGGGAAGTGTAGCTGGGTTCAGATGGATGGATCCAAAGTAGAGTACTCTGATTTTTCTAGTAGTGTGCTTTTCTTGGCTCCATATAAAGGGGTATGATAGCACATCCTTTTGAAAATTGTACAAGCTCTTCAGAATTGGGTACAGCCTTAGACCAGAAAAGAAAAGGGTCAAGATACAGGATGGGGAGAGGTAGAAGTTTATTTAGTTGTGTAAATGGTTCCCCTTTGCACTGTTCTTTTGTTTGCTTGCCCATTAGTATGTGTAGAACATCAGCTTGTGTTGACAATCTTCTGGAATTTTTGCCTGAAAAGTAGTCTCATTCAGCACTCAGGAGAAAGTAGCACGCTATGTTCGTTCCTGCTTTTAAAAATGTCCTTAAAAATGCATCTGTGCAGCAAATTCATACGTTCCTGTGACTTACCTGCACAAAATACTGGCTGGTGTTATCTCAAAGCTTCATGCAGCTACTGAGGCAGGTTGTGCAATTCGCTGCAGTAAAGGTAAAATGACTGAGACTTTGATTTAAGAAATCAGTTGGTTTCAGTTAAGGATTCTGGGGTGAAATTGACTCGGAGACAGGCAGATCCACTGAAACAAAACCTCCTTCTACAGATACACGTATGTGTTTTCTGAAAAACTGATCCAGGGAAGGTTTCTCAGGTTTGTGGTAGCACTTCTGGCTTGGGACCAGGGATCTGTTCAGAGCCCCCGAGTCCCCTTTGGGATGCCAAATCCTGCTATTTTGAAGGATTGGCTACTTATTCCTTTCCCTGATTTGCCAGCTACTCCAGGTCACTTCAGGGAGTGTTGAGAGAGGGGTGTTTAAGCTATAGAGGAATCTCAAGTGTCAATACCAAACCAGTAAGCCCCTATTAGTATACTGGGCAAAATGGTCTGTACCCTGACAGGGCACTCAGATGCAGTGGGCAGAGTCATGGAGTCACAGAATGGTTCAGGTTGGAAGGGACCTTAAAGATCATCCAGTTCCAACCCCCTGCCCTGGGCAGGGACACCTCCCACCAGACCAGGTTGCTCCAAGCCCCATCCAACCCAGAGCTTAATTGTAAATCCCACAGACCAGAACCCAGCATCACGGACTGGGAGATGGCCAGAAAAGGGGGCTTGGGGCAGTTCACTGGCAAACCCAGTACCTCATTCCAGTCCCTAAAGGGGCTACAGGAGAGACAGGGAGGGACTCTTTATCAGGGAGTGGAGAGATAGGATGAGGGGTAATGGTTTTAAACTGGAAGAGGGGAGATTTAGATTAGATCTCAGGAAGAAATTCTCTCCTGTGAGGGTGGTGAGACACTGGAACAGCCCATTCCAATGCTTAATAACACTTTCAGTGTCAAAATTTTTCCTACCATCCGATCTGAACCCCCCCTCTGGCACAACTTGAGGCATTTTCTCTTATCCTAAATAGTTCTACTTCCGTGCTGACTGTGTTTTTCTTTTTCCTCCTTAGCAACGCTGAGCCCTCCGAAAAAAGATTTCGCATGAATAGTTTTGTGGCAGATTTTGGAAGACCCCTGGAGTCAGAGAGGGTCTTTTCTCGGCAAATAGCTGAAGAATCCCGCTCCCTTTTCCATTTCTGCATTAATGAGGTGGAACATCTGGACAAAACAAAACAAAATCAGAAAGGTCCAGGTCTGGAGACTAATATCCACTTCCAGGAAGTTCCTAGGAGCAGTGGGATGTTTGAGGAGGACCTCAGTTGTCACACCAAATTTAACATCCCGAACTTTGTGAACACGGAGCAGAACTCTTCGCTGGGTGAGGACGATCTCCTCATCTCCGAGCCACCCATCATTTTGGAAAGCAAATCGGTGGCGCAGTCTTCCCACCGCGTCCTTGACTGAAAAGGCTTTGGTTTGAAGGGAGATGTTCCCGTTGTTGTGTGGTTTAAGGCCTTTTGTGACCTTCTGGTATTTTGATGGAAGCTATTTCAGACCTCTGCTTTTTATTGTCCATAAGACTGGTTGTGCTGACAGAACTTAGATGGAAATAAAACACTTGAGTGCATTATTCTGATGCCTTCTGTGGTCTGAACCTTCTGCCCAGAGTTATTTTAACTTCCTGATTATTTTTTTTTGGTTTATTTTTGAATGACTGCTTGTATCTAGCTTCTGAAGGATACTGTAAGAACTTGCAGGGACTGTGAAGGCTGGAGCCTAGTGTTGGGAAGTGCATGAAAACTCCTCAGCCAAGAAAAGTTGTCAACCTCAAATTAAAGACTAAAATGGGGAAACCCCTGGGAAGGTTCTGCATCTTCTGCTGCTCCCAAAAAGGACACCTGAAATGGAGCATTGTAAGGGACATCTGCTTGGCATTAACTTCAGCTTCTGATTCCTGCTTTTATGACCTGCTTTTCGGTGCAGGTTAAACTTGTGTCACAAAGCTTACAGAGGGAATACCTTTACTGTTAAATTGTTGGGTTGCAGTCTTTACAAAATGCTACCACCACCTGCTGCTGAGGAAAAGCAAATTGGTGCCTGTAATTATAGCACTTCAGAGTGATATTCCGACAGCTGCCCGGTGATGATCTGCAATTAGTGTTCTACACAAACAGTAATTTGATCTCGTTTTGGTTTGGTGCTTTGTTTTGTGGGTTTTTTTAAATGGCTGACACGAAATTCCAGTTTGGTGAGTGCAGGATTTGGTAGCTAAATCACAGGAAACTCAGATGAAATCTGTTCTTTTTGCCAATAGAGTTACTACTTGCACGTGGTGGTGGTAGGTCAAGCTGGTGTTATGTTTTGCTTTGAGGCTGAACCTTCCTGTGCTTTTTGGCTCTAGAGCAGCACTTTCCTGACTAGTGGGGCCAGTGAAGGGCTCGTAGGCTGTGACCTGCTGAGGGGACCAGCTTCAAAGGCAGAGCTGAGCTGCACCAGCTCCATCTTCTTTTCGTATTTGATTGGGCTGGTGTTGCAGCTACTGCTGTTGTCCCAGAGGAGGGCTTGTTAAGGGGTTGTATAGGTGTAATTTCAACTGTGAAGCTTATTGAGAGAAGGAGTAAGGTTCTGAGCCTCACCAGTACTTGAATTATGTTTCAGCTTCTTCAAGAGATGGGTAACTAATGGCCAAATGGGTTTATGGCAAGCACAGGGGTTGCAGAGGAACCAGGATCAAATCCCGGGCTGGACTTGGGAGTAGGAATGCTCTGTGGGATGTCCTTAACTGAAAGGAAACCAGTGGATTTAAGATCATATAATCACGAATGGTTTGGTTTGGAAAGGACCTTAAAGATCATCTAGTTCCAACCCCCTGCCCTGGGCAGGGACACCTCCCACCAGACCAGGTTGCTCCAAGCCTCATCCAGCCTGGCCTTGAACCCCTCCAGGGATGGGGCAGCCACAGCTTCTCTGGGCAACCTCTTCCAGTGTCTCACCACCCTCACAGGAAAGAATTTCTTCCTAAGATCTCATCTAAATCTCCCTCTTTCAGTTTAAAACCATTACCCCTCATCCTGTTGCTCCACTCCCTGACAGAGAATCCCTAAGATACTGTCTGATTGGGTTTTCTTGAAACTGACCTGCTTTGTGTAAGACAGACTTGTGTCAGAGTGAAAATGTAGCAACTCCCTGACAGAGAATCCCTAAGATACTGTGTCTGACCAGGTTTTCTTGAAACTAACCTGCTTTGTATAAGACAGGCTTGTGTCAGAGTGAAAATGTACTGTCAGTAGCAATGGGCTGCTGATAAATTCCTCAGATGCTTAAATGCTGATGAATTAATTCTTCCTTCATTGGAAAAATATTAAAAACAGCGAATGGGTTGTGCCTTTAAAGAATACAAGGAGTGGGGGAGACCTCTTTTTGTTTCCATCTCCTGTGCCCTTATGATAAACCACTTAGACTTAAATTTCCTGTTTTCAAATGTAATTCTTGCGCTATTTCTTAGTGTTTTTACCTAAAGCAAATGAGAGACTGGTTCAAAGTGGCAGGTTATTGCTGAAAATAGTTCCTGAGAACTCAGTTGGGAGTGAGCGTGGCTGCCCGGGCTGCAGGGCAGGTCTCCAGTGTGTGCAGAAAAGGCCTCCTGGCACAGTAAGTACTTGACCATGAGTGAGTATATGAAAGCTGTAGTTCTGGACTTGCCTTTTCTCTTCCCAAATGAAGAAATTTGGGAAATCTGCCTTCTGAACCTGCAGCTGCTGCCTGTGGAGGCACCTCAAACAACTCTTAGCTCTCTAATTAATGGTTAAGCTTTGGCTGAGCTGAAGCTCAATATTGTTCTGGCTAACAAGCTCTGGGATTTCTGTTAAATGTGGCTTTTGTAGCCTATTTCTGGATAAGTGAGCTGCCTTCGGTGATGTTTGATCTATTTTTTTTAATTTTTTTTTTCCCCCTTTGCCATGTTTGAAAACAGAAATGCTTCTCAAATGAGAGGAAAGTCTGTGTAGAACCCAGCCCCTCTGCAAGCAAGAGATGACGTTTGTTTTTAAAGCATTTAAAACAAGGTTTCAAAATAACACAGAAAAAGAAAAGCTTGTTATTCCCAGTGGACTGACCTAAGCTTTTCCTCCCCCCCCCCCCTTAGATCTTTGTGGCTTTTGTTCAGGTGTGTGACTGCTGCTTTGGGGAGAAAGGAGAACTATTCGTGTGTGTGGGTTCTGGTGACACGTAAGGCCTGGATGAAAGGTATTTCCTAAAATGATGAAGGAATAAAACCAACTTCACTTATAACACATTTGAATTGGATTCTTAATGTCCTTCCGAAGCACGTCTTAATCCTGTGAAGGTATCTAAGGGTTGGTTCCTCCTTCTGTTCTTCCCTGATGGTTCTGATTTTTTCTATATCATCTTATCTCCCTTTTATCTTTAAATTTAGTCTTTCATGCTGCTTTTTACAGAAAAATAACCTGCCAGTCCCTGCTGCACAGAGACACTGGGGCAGCAACACTCCCGGTCCCATTTTTCTTCTCCATTAGAGCAGAATCAAAGGCAAACAAAGCAACTTTTTCTGCAGCCTTCAAAAGCAGTCATATTAAAAAAAAAGAGAAAGAAAGAACTGCTTTAAGAACTAATAGCCACAATGTTTTGCCTCAGGGGAAAGGGGATTGATGTAAATAACCAGCTTTGTGTAACGTGTTTTTAAAAAAATACATCTTTTTCCCAGAAAAGCAACGTGAGTTGGTTCACTGTGAAGGGACTAGAAAGGGGTTTTGACCAGTGTAATCCTTCAAAATGAATATTTGGAATGTTGTTTGTTGTTTTTTTTTCTAAAAGGAATGATTGCAAATTTTCTTTCAGAGCCTTTTTGCAAAATTGCATCCCCTGTGGTAGGTTTAACTTCGTGGAGAGGCGGCCTAAGATAATTACATTTGTTTCTTTGCATAAACCTGGTTTATATTCTGTAAGAACTCAGGAGCTCAAGTTCCCTGTTCCAGTTCTCAGAGGTGAATGTTTGTGCAATGTTCTTCTGTGTCAGTGAGTTGGAGCTCTGCACCCACCACCCACCCTGCCAGGTAAAATCAGAAAATGCCTGCTCAGAGAGGAAAGGGAGATGTAAAACCATCAAAATCCAGTGATTTACAGTCTTTGAGGCTTAAAAGGTGAAGTTATTTTTGGCCAGGAGGTGTGGTGTTACCCCTCTGGAAGGCTAAACACTGTGATTCAAAGATGAGATCTGCTGTTCTTCTGCACACCCTCTTCTCCTCTCTTGCAGCAAATGTCTTCTCCTCTCATCCAGGTCACCGAGTCACCCGCCAGCTGCTCACCTGAGTTCCTAAAAGCTTTGAAGGTGACAATTCAAATTATTATCCTCCAGCTGCTTGGCTGTAAACAAATTAATTTCAGCTAAACATAAGGCGATGACTCAAAGAAATGATGTTTAAGATTCTTTTAATCTGGTCACGATGACGTCTCCTGGAAATGAGCGATGAAATAATACAGTAGAAAAGGAAAAACATCCACAAGTTGAATTTCATTCAAATTGTGGGAGAAACCATCATGTAAGACTTCTAAGAGGTGTTTGAACACTGAGGCAGCCCCCTCTTGATGGCCTAAGGATTATATGTTAAGAGAGGGAGAGTTTCCAGCACCTGCAACACCTCCCCTGGTTCCTCCTGTCCCCTCTGGGCCCACAAGGGCTGCTGCTGTGTCAGGGACAGCAAATTGTACAGGAAGGAAATGGTAAAGTGGAAATAATTCTATTTTATCCTTTTCATTTGCAAAACCACCTAAAATCAAGAAAACACAGCCTATTTCCACAGAGCTGATATTTTATATACAATGCATTATTAAATTTACACTTTTTATAAATACAGACTAATACTTCATTATTGGGGCCAAAACAACCTGTGCTAAAAATACTGAAAATACCTGAATATGAAACAACCACGATTACTGTATTATTTGCTACATAACCATCTTTTTTTTTGGTAATATCTGTATGTATGTTATATTTCTCTTACTTTGTGTGTGTATATCCCAAAAAAACAATAAATTCCTTGCACTGTTGATGATGGTATTTGTTACCCTGTTTTGTTCTTTATGGGTGCGCAGTATAAAGGGGTCTTCAGGGAAGAACTGGTTTATGACCTGGACCTTCTTTAAGGTCCCTTCCAACCTAGATCATTCTATGATTCTATGAATTGGAGGCTCTCATGATGAAAAAGCAAAATGGGGGAAAAAAGAAGATTTTCATGCCCTACCGAATGAAAAAATAACAACTCTCCATGCTAAAAATCCAAGCCAAGCAGCAGATTGCTCAAATGCATCACTAGGAGACAAATTATAAACCAGAGTTTATAAAATATTCAGGCATGTTCTACAGTACCTGAAAAAGCATCAAAATGGAGGTTTTCAATGGTAATTGAGTCTATGGAATAATCTCAATATTCCCAATATTTTTAAAAAATTGCACAAACTTTATTTCTAGGGAAACACAAGCCGTACAGTGTCACTCAGTGCAAACCTACCTTTTCCAACCTAGATCATTCTATGATTCTATGAATTGGAGGCTCTCATGATGAAAAAGCAAAATGGGGGAAAAAAGAAGATTTTCATGCCCTACCGAATGAAAAAATAACAACTCTCCATGCTAAAAATCCAAGCCAAGCAGCAGATTGCTCAAATGCATCACTAGGAGACAAATTATAAACCAGAGTTTATAAAATATTCAGGCATGTTCTACAGTACCTGAAAAAGTATCAAAATGGAGGTTTTCAATGGTAATTGAGTCTATGGAATAATCTCAATATTCCCAATATTTTTAAAAAATTGCACAAACTTTATTTCTAGGGAAACAAGCCGTACAGTGTCGCTCGGTGCAAACCTACCTCTGGACAAGCAAGATTCCAGATCAGATCCAAAGGGAATTCAATTTCCGAGTGTTACCTTAACGATTTTCAGAAATATTGTCTATAAATTGCACAAACTTTATTTCTAGGGAAACAAGCCGTACAGTGTCGCTCGGTGCAAACCTACCTCTGGACAAGCAAGATTCCAGATCAGATCCAAAGGGAATTCAATTTCCGAGTGTTACCTTAACGATTTTCAGAAATATTGTCTATTTGTACCTTTGAATATCAAAATCCTGCTTTTCTCATCAGCCCCATCACGTCTTCCAGGAGCTGCCTGTGGTGCCGAATCCCCCGGGATTGGGGGCAGGAATAACCACCCCTTGTTTCTGCAGCTCCCGTAACACCTCCAGGATGGAGTCCAGCTCCGCTCCGAATCTCTCCAGCTCCCGGGTCTTGCTCTGGGCCAGTCTCCGCCACCGCTCCGCCTCCCCCTCGGCAACCTGCGCCCTCCCTCGGGCCACCTGAGAGACAGGGAGAGGCAAGTCAGCGGTGTCATTTAGGAGCCAAAAGCTCAGGGAACACCACCCCTTCCCCAAAATACGCCCCTTCCTTACATTCGATGCTCGGTCTCCCAGCCCAACACTCAACTGAAATGGAAACAATTGAATCTGAATATTAAAAAAAAATAAATCACAGAATCGTAGTGGTTGGAAGGGACCTCAGAGATCATCGAGTCCAACCAACAAAAAAAAAACCAACAAAAAAAACCCCCACACAAACCACCACCCACCACCTAAACACACAACAACAACAACCACCAAACCAAAAAACCATCACCCACCCACACAGCACCCCACCACAAACCAGTAATCTTGGGCACTAGAGCATGCCCTGAAGAACCATGTCTACACGTTTCTTAAATACCTCCAGGGATGGTGACTCCACCACCTCCCTGGGCAGCCCATTCCAATGCTGGATAACCCTTTCAGTAAAGAAATGTTTCCTAATATCCAACCTGAACTTCCCCTGGCGCAACTTGAAGCCATCACCCCTTGTCCTATCGTCTGTAACTTGGGAGAAGAGACCCCAATGAATTCCTTTAAATATTTGCATTACTGATCTCTATCGTTAGGGTAGAATTCATTCGTCACTAATGAGCCTCAGGAGAATGTAACTCAGCAATTAAAAGTTTGAATATTCAAGACAAAGCTGAGCCTGGAACATAAACCCCCCTGCAATCAAAATGAGACTTTTCAATTGCCATTTAAATGTGTTAATTAAAAGACTGCTCCGCAAGAGAAACCAAGTGGATCTGACACACGTTGTGAGCTGTTACTGCGCCTCCAAAAACCACAAGTTTTGTGAGTCAGGAGACAATGGCCTGTGGTCACAAAGGGCTGAGGCTGCTGCAGATCAAAGTTTGCATTGGTTTTTACACGAATCTAACTGTAATCCTATTAAATTACCCCAAATAGAATTTAGTTTGTGGAGGATAAAGGGTTTTTTGTTGTTATTATTTCAGGAATTAAAACCAGTACGTGGTAGATTGGATGTTTCTATACTTTTAATGCAGCTTTTCTGAATCACGGAATGATCTGGGGTTGGAAGGGACCTCTGGAGATCATCTAGTCCAACCCCCTGCCAGAGCATGGTCACCCAGAGCAGGTCCCACAGGAACGTGTCCAGGTGGGTTTGGAATGTCTCCAGAGAAGGAGACTCCACCTCCTCTCTGGGCAGCCTCTGCCAGGGCTCTGCCACCCTCACAGGAAAGAAGTTCCTCCTCATGTTTAGATGGAACTTCATGTGTAAAAGTTTGTGCCCGTTTCCTCGTGTCCTGTCCCTGGGCACCACTGAAAAAAGCCTGGCCCCATCCTCCTGACACCCACCCTTGAAGTATTTATAGGTGTTGATCAGATCCCCCCTCAGCCTTCTCTTCTCCAGACTAAAAAGACCCAAGTCCCTCAGCCTTTCCTCATAAGGGAGATGCTCCAGGCCCCTCAACATCTCTGGACCCTCTGCTGTACCCTCTCCAGCAGTTCCCTGTCCTTCTGGAACTGGGGAGCCCAGAACTGGTCCCAGTGCTCCAGATGGGGCCTCCCCAGGGCAGAGCAGAGGGGCAGGATGACCTCCCTCCACCTGCTGGTCACACTCTTCCTGATGTCCCCTAGGAGGCCACTGGCCTTCTTGGCCACAAGGGCACAATGAATGGGACTTCTAGGACTAGGAAATAAAACTACAGCTCAGTTGAGGGCTGTATCAAAAAGTACTTTCCCCCCCTCCAGCCTGGGCAAATACCATCAAATTACAGTTAAACGGGTAAATTGCTCTTGTGAATTAAATGCAATAATATCCTGAGCTACCTTTTGAATTTCTTGCTCTCTTGCTGCATGTCTGCTCTCGATGTGCCTGATTTTCTTTTCCAGGTCCAAAAAGTGTTTCATTTCAGGACTCTGGCTCTCTTTAGCCTCTCGCAGTTCTTCCAACAATTTGGTCACCTGCAGTTTGAGAGAATTGATGACAATTGTTACCGCGGTGTCACGCAGCGCCTAAACCCGGCTCCCTTCAACGTGTGTTATTTGCATTATTCAATCACTCCATTCAAAAGCTGCAGAAAGGAAGACGTAAAAGAGAAATCTCCTTTATGCAAAAGCTTAAAGAGGGGCTCAGGGACTGAGATTCGGATCTTTCACGTGTAAGATGTGGCCTGAAGATACAAAAATCTAGTCCTTTTTGATAAATCCCATCCTGTTTGTAATACGTTACCAAGTGATTATCCACAGTCAATGTTTATAGATCTTTTTTCTCTCCCTACAATCTTCACAACAGAGCTGGAATTTTGCAGGGATAAGATAAATACTAAGTAAATTCACCGAAATTAAGATTAATTATATTAAATACGTACAAAACACCTACTGATACTTCTCTCATTTCTTCTAAAGAAGGGTACCAAACAAAATTAAGCATCTGGAGTTCTCTGTCCCTTACAGAATAGGAGAATTCTTTTTAATAACTCCTGCAGATTAGTGTATTATCAAAATGAAGTTAAAATGAGCAATGGTCATACATCAAGGAGACGGTGACTGAAGCAGGGGCACAATGTTGAGACAGGCTACATCCTTCTCCCAAACAGGAGGTGAATAAAAAAACCCAAAAAAAAAAAAAAAAAAAAAAAGAGATTGGCAGCATTTAAGGGATAACAAAAGTGCCAATAACTCAAAAACCTTGGGTTCAAAGACAGACAGTGATTTTGCACAATATTACCCCAAAAAATGAAAGCATGAAGAAGTGGAATTATTTTTATGATATGCTATTAATAGGTTAGGAAAAACCTAAAATACCTCTCCAAAAAACCAGTGAGTTTGAAAAGAACGATTAAACTGCACATTCTCTTCTTAAAAGACCTCAAGTTTCATAGATACCAAAGGAGAAAATCAAGAATATAATGGCCTAAGTCAGTTTGATGGCAATGAAGGATGAAAAAAGAAAAAAAAAAAAAGGGTTTATCTGAACAAAGAATGTGAAAACAATAACAAAATATCCTCTTAATAATAAGCCCTGTGGTCTATTTACCAGGTGGGTAAATAGACGGGTGTCACAACTCTCAAAGAAGAGCCCACACACGCTTGGATTAAGCTGGTGATCAATTTTCATACAGAAGTCCCACATTTCTAACATTAAAAATAATAATTTTAAAAAACCCAAAACTAAAATAAAAGGCCGTCAAAGTTCCACCTTGTGTGCTGTGTTATTCTCTTGTTCATATTAGAAAAATATAGTGCCTTCTCAGCTATAACTGATGTAACTGATGTAGAAACAACTGAGAAAGTCCACCCTGTTTCTAAGATTTATTTTACAGTTTCACTTGAGGCTTTACAAGGATGAAAGTGAAAACTCTTTTATTAGAATGAGGTAACCCCAATCCCAATTTAAATATACCTCTTTTTGTAGGAGTTCCTCTCGCATCTGTGAAACAAGAAGGGCTTCCTGATGTTTCTGTTGTTCACTGATTTGTTCTTGGAGATGTTTTATTAGTATCTAGAAAAAGATTAAAAATAGTCGCCATTAACACAAATACCCAGGACAACATGTGAAAACCTACACAGGAAAAATACTCCAAAAATATCATCAATATTGTAGTACTGCAGGTGTAACTTGCTGTTGGAGCAACTAAGCCTGAAAACCTGACAGACACATGAAGGACAAGAAGGTGATCAGAAGCAGTAAGCATGGATTCACAAAGGGGAAGCCATGCTTGATCAACCTGATAACCCTCTATGATGAAATGACTGGCCTGGCAGATGAAATCTTGCAGAAAAGGAGCTATGATGAAATGACTGGCCTGGCAGATGAAGTCTTGCAGAAAAGGACCTGGGTGTCCTGGTGGACACCAAATTGACAAAAGGCCAACGGAATCCTGGGCTGCATTGGTGTGACTGTCACCAGCTGGTTGAGGAAGGTGATCCTTCTGCTCTCCTCAGCTCTGGTGAGGCCACACCTGAAGAACTGTATCCAGTTCTGGGTTCCCCAGTGTAAGAGACATGGAGCTTGTGGACAGAGTCTACAAAAGGCCACTGAGACAGTGAAGGGACTGGAGCATCTCTCATAGAAGGAAAGGCTGAGAGAGCTGGGACTGTTTAGCCTGGAGAAGGCTCAGGGAGAGGGTGCAAAGCCAACAGAGCCAGGCTCTTTCCAGTGGTGCCCTGTGACAGGAGAAGCTGCAAAGGGCACAAACTGAAACGCAGAAAATTCCATCCGAACATCAGGAAAACTTCTTTACTGTGAGGGTGACCAAGCACTGGTTTAGGTTTCTAAGCTCAGAGAGGTTGTGGAATCTCCCTCCTTTGAGATATTCAAAAGCCATCTCTACATTGACCTTAGCAACTGGCTCTAGATGACCCTTCTTGAGCAGGAGGGTTGGACAAGGTGACCTCCAGAGGTCCCTTCCAGCCTCAACCATTCTGTGAGTCTGTGAATACAGTGGCACAGGCCCATTTTTTTAAACAATAGGTCCTACTTTAAAGAGACCTAAAGTTTATAGTAACCTAGAAAGAAGTAACTTTAACATCTGTATGTAGTGAATGTATCTACTGCATCTTACCTCTTGTGTTGAAATTCTGCTGTTGAGTTCAGCTACTTTAGAAGCAGAATGCTCCTTTGCGTGCTGGCAAAGGATCTTCTCCACCTCCCTCTGATGGGAAGCTTTCAGAGATGCAATGTACTCTGCTGTGTCTTCCTGCATCCTGAACAGGGTGAGAGAAAAATAAGGTGTACTAAAGCAGCTACAGATAGTTCATCAAAAACGTGGCAAGGTTTGTCGCTTGAACATATAAAATATCAAAAACATTGGTGGCATGTGTTTGGAATTTGGTAACAAAAGCTTGCAAGATAGCACCACCATGACTTCTGCTGCTCAGGAGGGATGACAGGGTGGGAAGTCCACAAGGCTGGATAAGTGCCTCATTTAACTGGAGGCAGCTAGAATGCAAAAACTCAGCCAATCATCTCTTTTTACAAAAAAAAAAAAAAGAGAAGAGAGAAAATAGGTGCTTTTAAATCACAATTCAGCTCTCCTATTTCAGGTATCTATTCTAGAACAGAATGTGTTGCAATCTAAATAAGCCAATTTCCTCTACTTGGAGTAGGAAGGGATCTAAGGGAGACTGAGTGAAGTGCACAGTTTCTATGGTTGGTCAAGTAAATCCCACTGAAAGCATGCCCCAGTTTAAAGCAAAGTGTGTGTACAAAATATTAATGCTATACAACACAAATCCAAAGCATCTAAAATGCAACCATTTATACTGAGACCTTCTTACTCAAAACCATGACGAACTGTAGCATTAATAAGGGGAATTAACATAGGTTTGTGCGTACAAAGAATCAGGACAGTGCACTGCTCTAAAAAAAACCAAACCCACCAACCAAAAACTCAACCCCTCCCCCCAAAAACCAAAAACAAACCGTAAAAATGAGATCTACAGAGAACATTGGCCAAGTATAAGGCAGCTTCACACATGGCTGACACCTTAACGTGTCCTTTCAGTACCCTCTCAGCCAGCACTTTAATGAGGTTTTGAAAGCATTTACCTCCGTATGTTATTTTCAGAATAAGCCAGTGTTGCTTGAGACTTCACCCTCTGCTGGTTCATTTCTAGAGCCAACCTTTCAAGCTCCTCTTTCAGCTGTGCATTTTCTTGCAGAACTTCCGAGAGATTAGAATCAGAAAAGGTCTGGGGTTGGTACCTTTTGTCATCATTGAAAATGCTCAGAAAGGGCTCGCTGTTGCTGGAATTCCTCTTATCTGCTGCTAACGTATTCTTTTTCAGGATCTCTGTAGAGTTTTCCTTGTTATCCATTTTATTTCTCAAATTATTATCAGACAACATCATCATCCTTTCTTTTTGAAGTTTCTCTACAGTTTTTGTAAGGTCTTGTATTTCTCTATTTTTGGTGATCAGTTCTTCATTTAGTTTTAACAGTCTATCTTTCGTGTTGCCCTGTTTTATTTGAGACTCTGTGGACTCCAAGTCTCTGTTATTCTTTTTACTTCTGAGTTTTAATTGGGAATTTTGACTTCTAAGGTTTTCAATTTCTGTCTGGAGGTTTTCCACGGTGATCTGATGGGTCGTCTTTAGATTCTGCAGCTCCTGTTCAAGCTCTGTAGAAGTGACTTTGTCACCGTTCAGTTTCGGCGATTCACTCATAAACTTGTAGGCAAGCAGCTGCTCAAGCTCTACAAGTCTTTGCTCGTACTGCATCTAAGGGAGGGGAGAGGGAGAAGGGGAAGAAAAAGCATTTTCCTCAAGTGGATGTTTATTACTAAGCTCTTTTTATTATTCTTTAAAATTACTGCACATCCAAAGATTTCCTAAGACAGGATACACATCAGTGTCACTAATAACGCTACATAATCAGTGCAGAAATTAGTGAGTGAAAAATCACATGAAGCAAACTTAATTCTGCTGTAAAACAGAATTACTCAAAACATTTGCTACAAATTAATCCTCTGCTCCCAATGAATACAGTAACTCTGGGAAAGAAAATTAAATTGACTAAGAACTATTTCATTTTTATACGATTGCGTTCCCTTCAGATATTACCAACTTGGACAGGCAAAGCAAAATCTTATTTCAATATAGCAAGAAGTCTTTAGTTTTGTTAAAATCTGCCATCGTGTATTTGCCATGTGTCAGTTTGCAAATATTACTGTCATATGCCTCAAAATGGTATTCTTTGAATATTTTTTCCCTTGAACATTGTCTTTCCCTTGAGACCTCTGTGACCCACAACCGTTGCTTTCCGAGCAGACTGCTCAACAAGCCTCCAACTTTTACCTTTATTTTTTGAAATTGTTGTTCCATGGCACGGAGACTTTTTTTAGCTTCATCATCTTTACCTTCAAGTTCCATTTCTAACTTTTTTATTCTTTTCTCCAAAAAATCCACTGTGTCTGTTTTAGCTGAAAGATCATTAGCTTTCTCAGCAGCAGCAGCAGCATAAATCAAAGCAGGCAAAGAATTTGGATACCTTCTTTTTAGAATTCCTTCCATTTCTCTGATCTATCAAAAAGAAAATTAAGTCAGAAGTCAAAAAAAACAGAGTTCTAATGAAAATTGAACTGTAAGAAGTGACAGAATTTAAACAAATGTCATCCACTTGAGCTGGGTGAAGAATGAAAACTAGAGATGAGTATGTTGTGAATGTTTTACATTATTTACATTTATGTTATTTACAGAAAAGCAAGACTCACCATCTGTTATGGGTTGACTTACACATCATGTTGAAATATTGCTCTGGTCTTCAGATTGTCTTATGTCAAACAGACCTTTTATTTACTTTCTTAGCACTTAAGTTGTATATTGCTCTTAATGCTCTTAAGTATTTGCTTTTTTCCTGGAATTACACTCACATTCTACTTTCCCAACTGTTACAGAGATATTTCATAACGTTATTGAAATTATTCTCCCAATAACAGATTATATGCCTTTTATTTTGGAGTCTGCAATAAAATAAATTAACACCCTGCATGCAAGACTAATAACAAGCCCCTCTTTTTTTCTATGAATGAGATATTCTTTTCCATTTGTCCTACATCCCTATGAAGCGCAGCTGCCATCTCTTAAAATTCAGAAAGGCCAGCTTCTTCCTGACTTTTCCTCTGTAGAAACATGGATTTTAAGGTGTCTACTCCTCTAGTTTTTGTAGGAATCCCAATACATTTTAAACCCCTCCTCTTGAATCAACTTGGTGGAAACTGGTCATAATGTTAAGGGGTTACTGAACACAGACAAATATAGTCTTAGAAGACAAACAGCAAGTCTGTGTGTGCTTTTGCCCTCTTGCCCCATTCCAAGGAACTCTAAATGGTATTTTCATGTCAAAGCATTTTAAAGCAGATATCACTAAGCAGCTTAATAGAATATAGTAGCAGAAGAGCCCTTTGTAAGTAAGTAATTGCAGCTTTTTGTGCTGAGTGTTCCATAGCACCAGTTACTTTATCACAGGGCTCCATTCAATGCTTTACCCTTATGAAAGGGCTGGTAAGTGTTGTAAGAGACCTCATCTGAAATAAAGGTTAAATGGAACACGGGTCTGTTATCGCGTACTTGTCGCTCAAGATCCTGAATTCTTTTAGCATCTGCTGCTCTGTCTCGCAAACGTTTCTTCTGTTGCACACACTCATCTCCAGCTTCAGCTCTGAGCTTCTCAACCTGTCCAGCAGAGGAGAAAATAAACTGAAATGGATATTCAGAGACATTTTCCTTTATTACAAAAGTCAGCACATTTCAAATGCGCACGATATAATGGAAGTATTCTGCAACTGGTAATAGCAATTCCTGTACTAACTGATTCTTCGTGTTCTTAAACTAAGTCACAGCTTCTTCAAGCCACTTAAGATCAAAAGGAGCTGAAACCAGCTACAGAAATCTAGTACAGGATTTCAACTCTTGGACATTCTTCTCTTCTGACCAGTAAATCATCACCTTTTACCCTACTTCCAGTATACAGGCTTGGTTAATAAGCTATAAAATAAAGTACTACAGTACATTCCATGAATTCAGGGTGAGTTAAGGAAATAGTTTGTGATTTGCAAGGCTGTGCTCCACGATGAGATAGAGAAACAGCCAAAGAGCAATGTTATGTTGTGCCTAAACAAATGCTAATTCCCAGGATCAGGGGAAGGAACTGGGCAGCTAATGCTGCTGCACGCCCATAAAGTCTGGCCATGAAGACTCAAAGCTTTAATCTAAAATTGAATTTCCTACCTTTATCAGCCACCACGATCACTGTACGGGGATATTATGCCTTATATAGTTGGAATTATTCCTATCTTGAGTTCTCTCTTGCATGGGCAATGTTAACATAAGTAATGCTTTTGTGCCAGCAGAGTTTGACTAATTTGATTGTTTCTATGAAGTCAAAGCTCTTCATTGTTTTTAAACACCACTCCATCCTGTCGAAAATGCAAATACAAATATTTTCTTTCACAGCCACGATATGTTGATCAAAGTTTGATGTGGTGGTGTTTAAAGGATCTCCTTCCCTGGCTGCTCCTTCAGAGGCATCTCCTTTCATCTGTGATGTCTTTAATTAAGCACCACAAAAAATTTCCAAGATCATTTTATCACTGGAAAAATTCTTTATTTCTATGAATCTTAAGGCAAATCTACTGGCAAAGCAGGCAATGCAAATCTCAGAACTAGTCAAGATCCATTAACTAGTTTTGCTTGCTTTATATTTTGAGTATTTTGCCTTGTTCCTCCCTCCTACGGCAACCAGACAATTTTTCTAAGATAAAAAGAGTTTAGAACTGGTACTCAAGAGAAAAAAAAAAGAGAAAGCATTGTCTATGCTACAATGGAGTAAAAAAGAGGAAAAGTAAATCACAAGAGGGATGTTCCAAGTTGTTAAATGTAACAATGCACTTCCTTTTCTTAGTGAAGAAATTTGGAGGTTTTAAGGAAACACACTACTTCAGTTTCCAGAAGCATCATTAAGGTGTCCAGTACAAGCAAACCCAGGTTTTAAGCATTATGCACTTGCAATTCTCACTGCATACTCAGTAATATCTATTTTGCATATGAAGACTCTACATTTGACTTAAAGCTTGAAAAAATGGGATTATTATGGACAGAATTACATTATACTCATCACTAGAAAAGAAACAATTTAAAGCTTCAGCTTCTTAGACAAAGCTAGATATTATCACCTCTAGTTTTAGTTTCTCAATTTCTTCTTTTGCATCTTTAAGACGGGCTGCATCTTTATCCAGAAGATCTTGATTTTCTGCATACCACTGGAGTCTTCTCTTCAAATGAGCGATTTCCTGTTTGTAAGATTCTTCCATGACTTTAAATTCGTAAGACTTCTCACCTACAGGAATAAAACATCCTTAGTATTATTTTATTAGTAATTATGTATCGAAGAAGTAATTAGCCAACATTATCCTTCTCAGCACATTTCATATATTTACTAATCCTGTTACTGCAGTACATTTTTAAAACCGGACCCGAATTAGGATTTTAAATACAACAGTATTTGAAAACAAAAACCAAAAACCCAACACTTTTTTCTTTTATACATAGTAGCACTCAATGTTTCACAGTTTACCATGGAAATACCATTTAAAATATAATCCCAGGGGATCTATTCCTGATCACGTTCTAGTAAATAGATTTTCAGTAAGAACATGGAAGACAATATAGAATATATTCTTAGATATGTATTAACCATACTCCTCCTACTTAGGGATCAACCACTTTGAGAAGAGAGATGGAGGCAAATAGTACAGCTCTTAGCACATGTGATGTCTAATATTGGAAGTCAGAGTCCAGTTTCTGACCCTCTCTCATTAAGAAAGCTAAAGTCAGAATGGAAAGAGCAGGCGTAAGCTAGAGGTAAAAAACTGGCAAGATCTAAATAGAAGACTAAGATGCACCACAGTACATCTTTTCTTATGAACACAGGTGGCACAGAAATGGAGTCGTCTGCCCATCAGTTGGAGATGGGCAAAAAGTCAAACTTAACAGGCAACAACAAAGGGTATGGCTGGATACAAGAAAAAGCTTTTCCCAAAGGTACTGCAGCATGTCCTTCTCTGTGTGCTTTTATTAGAAGTTTAGACAATAAGTGGAAATGGTCTAGATGCATTAGACTAAGTAATATTTTAATAAGAAAAGACTTTTAATTACATATTTATCTAGGTGCTTTACCTGATGTGGATGCAATCTGGATTTTGGCGAAATCTCTCTCCTTCTTTGCTTGTCCCAAGTCTACCTCAAGAGCTTGCTTATCTTGTTTGAGACGTCTTATCTCTTCCTGTAATTTAGTTTCTTCCTTCTGAGTTTTAGAGAGAAAGGTCAGACAAGAAAAAATAAACAAACATAGTCATACAAAAAACCTGAACGTCCTTTTTCACCATAAAATGATTGATTAAATCACAAGAGTTGCATCAGACCACAGCAGCAACGAGGTTTTCTAGTTTTGATATTATTCTCAGACCTTGCTATAGTAGAGCAAAAGAAAACTTAAGCTAAACATAAAAAAACAAGGTTTTTTTTAATAAGTTTTACATAATTGTCTTTGAAGTAGAAAACTTCGAGCGTTTTACATAATTGTCTTTGAAGTAGAAAACATCTGCCTTTCGAGATATTCTCAGACCTTGCTATAGTAGAGCAAAAGAAAACTTAAGCTACACATAAAAAACCAAGTTTTTTTTTTTTTAATAAGTTTTACATAATTGTCTTTGAAGTAGAAAACATCTGCCTTTCGAGAGGGTCAGTAAAGAAAATGGCTTTATCTATGGACATGATGTATTTAAATGGACAGATGTATTCTCCAGTGGTTCATCTTACTACATTCTGTTTCTCACCCTTTTCTGCATGGACTCTCTCTTCTGTTTATGTGTTCCTGAAAACTTTTAATTTTAACATGAAGCTTACTAAACATCCTTCCTCAAACCCACACGCATCTGTAAGAATACCAAAAAAGTTACATGAGTGAATAACAAATGACTCTTTTCACTGTGGTGCTCTTTTCTAGAACTTAGCTGCTTCAGAGGAGGAATATTCTCCTGGATTTGTCTTGTGTGGAAAAGCTATGAAGGTATTGCTGCTTTCTGCAAGGTCTCACAAGGTATTTCAGAATTGCCAGTAAACAGGCAACACTGCACTTTGTTCAGTGAATCTGTGTCTTAGGGAATTTCTTCTAGACTTCATCTGATGAGACATTCATGATACACAAGTGAGACAAATAATAGCACGGTCCATCGCTTTCTTCATTTACATTATTAGTCTACAATATGGATGGTTATGCATTTTTTGTAAGAACACATGAAAACCAGGCATGGCAAATACTTACCTGTGCTGCTCGAAGCTCTGAAATCAATTCTGTGAAAGTGTGATTTCTGGCTGGTTCAGAATCCTGGAGGATCCGTGGCTGGATATTATTAGTCTTCTCTATCTTTTCTCTAAATGGTAACAGCAAAACCATTTATGCAATGCAGTGACTTGGTGTACCAACAGTGGTGCACTGAAAAAACAAACATCCCCCCCAAATGGCACTACAAAATCAACCTATGCAAGCTTCAAACAAAGAAAGAAGCAACTATGCAGTAACTTTATACCAAAAAATTCCACCTCTGGGGCGGAACCTGCTCACCTCGCACAAACTTCTTTGTTGGGACTATGTGAGGGAGGGAAACAAAACCTACTCTGCCACAGTGGGACTCACTGAGTAAATTAGGAAATCACTAGGTTTTTTTCCCTCATTACTAGTGCAGGATGCAAATCTTACAGGATCTTTGGCACAGTGAATCGGTGTAGGGGAGGACTTTGTAGAGTAGGGTAGATGGTTGGACTCGATGATCCCAAGGGTCTCTTCCAACCTGAATCTATGATGGTTCCTCCACTACCAGGATCTCCTGTGGCCCCTGATCTGCTATGTATCTTACAGCAGTATCAAAACATTTTGACATGTGAGCCATAATACCTGAACAAGTGTAGCATATGTATTACACTCTGATATGAATATTTGACTTGTAGCATTGAAATAATCCCCAGAGAGAAGACTACTCTTCCCACAGGTCTGCAAGATCAGCAAGAAGGCTGAGAATAATCAACATAAATCAAATCTCAAAAGAAAAAACAAAACCACAGACCCAAGAAACACTGGAAAATGTGTACCTGACAGACCCCCCAGGGATTTTTCATAAATAAAAATAATAAACACAGCTGAAAACTACAGTGATTTTAGGTTGGGTTTTTAAATAAGCATACCTTAAGGCTATTAATTCAGACATTAAACACTGATTCTCCTTAAACATTCGTTCCTCATTTTTTTTGTTTTGGACCTGTAGCTCTTTCATTTGTTTGTAAAACCTCTCGTTTTCCTAAGGTGAGACAGACAAAGTTAAAGAACATTCATAAATTACTGTTTATCCAGTTCTAAAATAACTGCCTATGCTTTGCAGAGTCAATTACTGTTTATCCAGTTCTAAAATAACTGTCTATGCTTTTGCATAGTTTGCCTACTGAAACAGTGGAAGCAAACACTAAATGTTTTATTACTAAGTTTCTAAAATGGGTATCAACTTTAATTATCTCTACGCTTAAGTTGTATACGGTGACCTCTATCATCCCCTCCAAGAGTCTGCTCTCTCTGGAGAACTTGGGCCAGTTCCTCCGCAAAACTAACCTATTCCATTTGTTTACAGCTGCAAGTATTCAAAAGGATTATAATATTATATACATTATAGGATTATAACATTATAACATTATTTATGTCTACACTTGACTAAGTAATGAAAATCAGCCACACTAATAAGGTTTCCTTGAAATCAGCTGCTCAGATCGTACTTGTCGCTCAAGATCCTGAATTCTTTTAGCATCTGCTGCTCTGTCTCGCAAACGTTTCTTCTGTTGCACACACTCATCTCCAGCTTCAGCTCTGAGCTTCTCAACCTGTCCAGCAGAGGAGAAAATAAACTGAAATGGATATTCAGAGACATTTTCCTTTATTACAAAAGTCAGCACATTTCAAATGCGCACGATATAATGGAAGTATTCTGCAACTGGTAATAGCAATTCCTGTACTAACTGATTCTTCGTGTTCTTAAACTAAGTCACAGCTTCTTCAAGCCACTTAAGATCAAAAGGAGCTGAAACCAGCTATAGAAATCTAGTACAGGATTTCAACTCTTGGACATTCTTCTCTTCTGACCAGTAAATCATCACCTTTCTACCCTACTTCCAGTATACAGGCTTGGTTAATAAGCTATAAAATAAAGTACTACAGTACATTCCATGAATTCAGGGTGAGTTAAGGAAATAGTTTGTGATTTGCAAGGCTGTGCTCCACGATGAGATAGAGAAACAGCCAAAGAGCAATGTTATGTTGTGCCTAAACAAATGCTAATTCCCAGGATCAGGGGAAGGAACTGGGCAGCTAATGCTGCTGCACGCCCATAAAGTCTGGCCATGAAGACTCAAAGCTTTAATCTAAAATTGAATTTCCTACCTTTATCAGCCACCACGATCACTGTACGGGGATATTATGCCTTATATAGTTGGAATTATTCCTATCTTGAGTTCTCTCTTGCATGGGCAATGTTAACATAAGTAATGCTTTTGTGCCAGCAGAGTTTGACTAATTTGATTGTTTCTATGAAGTCAAAGCTCTTCATTGTTTTTAAACACCACTCCATCCTGTCGAAAATGCAAATACAAATATTTTCTTTCACAGCCACGATATGTTGATCAAAGTTTGATGTGGTGGTGTTTAAAGGATCTCCTTCCCTGGCTGCTCCTTCAGAGGCATCTCCTTTCATCTGTGATGTCTTTAATTAAGCACCACAAAAAATTTCCAAGATCATTTTATCACTGGAAAAATTCTTTATTTCTATGAATCTTAAGGCAAATCTACTGGCAAAGCAGGCAATGCAAATCTCAGAACTAGTCAAGATCCATTAACTAGTTTTGCTTGCTTTATATTTTGAGTATTTTGCCTTGTTCCTCCCTCCTACGGCAACCAGACAATTTTTCTAAGATAAAAAGAGTTTAGAACTGGTACTCAAGAGAAAAAAAAAAGAGAAAGCATTGTCTATGCTACAATGGAGTAAAAAAGAGGAAAAGTAAATCACAAGAGGGATGTTCCAAGTTGTTAAATGTAACAATGCACTTCCTTTTCTTAGTGAAGAAATTTGGAGGTTTTAAGGAAACACACTACTTCAGTTTCCAGAAGCATCATTAAGGTGTCCAGTACAAGCAAACCCAGGTTTTAAGCATTATGCACTTGCAATTCTCACTGCATACGCAGTAATACCTATTTTGCATATGAAGACTCTACATTTGACATAAAGCTTGAAAAAATGGGATTATTATGGACAGAATTACATTATACTCATCACTAGAAAAGAAACGATTTAAAGCTTCGGCTTCTTAGACAAAGCTAGATATTGTCACCTCTAGTTTTAGTTTCTCAATTTCTTCTTTTGCATCTTTAAGACGGGCCGCATCTTTATCCAGAAGATCTTGATTTTCTGCATACCACTGGAGTCTTCTCTTCAAATGAGCGATTTCCTGTTTGTAAGATTCTTCCATGACTTTAAATTCATAAGACTTCTCACCTACAGGAATAAAACATCCTTAGTATTATTTTATTAGTAATTATGTATCGAAGAAGTAATTAGCCAACACTATCCTTCTCAGCACATTCCATATATTTACTAATCCTGTTACTGCAGTACATTTTTAAAACCGGACCCGAATTAGGATTTTAAATACAACAGTATTTGAAAACAAAAACCAAAAACCCAACACTTTTTTCTTTTATACATAGTAGCACTCAATGGTTCACAGTTTACCATGGAAATACCATTTAAAATATAATCCCAGGGGATCTATTCCTGATCACGTTCTAGTAAATAGATTTTCAGTAAGAACATGGAAGACAATATAGAATATATTCTTAGATATGTATTAACCATACTCCTCCTACTTAGGGATCAACCACTTTGAGAAGAGAGATGGAGGCAAATAGTACAGCTCTTAGCACATGTGATGTCTAATATTGGAAGTCAGAGTCCAGTTTCTGACCCTCTCTCATTAAGAAAGCTAAAGTCAGAATGGAAAGAGCAGGCGTAAGCTAGAGGTAAAAAACTGGCAAGATCTAAATAGAAGACTAAGATGCACCACAGTACATCTTTTCTTATGAACACAGGTGGCACAGAAATGGAGTCGTCTGCCCATCAGTTGGAGATGGGCAAAAAGTCAAACTTAACAGGCAACAACAAAGGGTATGGCTGGATACAAGAAAAAGCTTTTCCCAAAGGTACTGCAGCATGTCCTTCTCTGTGTGCTTTTATTAGAAGTTTAGACAATAAGTGGAAATGGTCTAGATGCATTAGACTAAGTAATATTTTAATAAGAAAAGACTTTTAATTACATATTTATCTAGGTGCTTTACCTGATGTGGATGCAATCTGGATTTTGGCGAAATCTCTCTCCTTCTTTGCTTGTCCCAAGTCTACCTCAAGAGCTTGCTTATCTTGTTTGAGACGTCTTATCTCTTCCTGTAATTTAGTTTCTTCCTTCTGAGTTTTAGAGAGAAAGGTCAGACAAGAAAAAATAAACAAACATAGTCATACAAAAAACCTGAACGTCCTTTTTCACCATAAAATGATTGATTAAATCACAAGAGTTGCATCAGACCACAGCAGCAATGAGGTTTTCTAGTTCTGATATTATTCTCAGATCTTGCTATAGTAGAGCAAAAGAAAACTTAAGCTAAACATAAAAAAACAAGGTTTTTTTTAATAAGTTTTACATAATTGTCTTTGAAGTAGAAAACTTCGAGCGGGTCAGTAAAGAAAATGGCTTTATCTATGGACATAATGTATTTAAATGGACAGATGCATTCTCCAATGGTTCATCTCACTACATTCTGTTTCTCACTCTTTTCTGCATGCACTCTCCGTTCTGCTTATGTGTTCCTGAAAACTTTTAATTTTAACATGAAGCTTACTAAACATCCTTCCTCAAACCCACACACATCTGTAAGAATACCATAAAAGTCACATGAGTGAATAACAAATGACTCTTTTCTCTCTGGTGCTCTTTTCTAGAACTTAGTTGCTACAGAGGAGGAATATTCTCCTGGATTTGTCTTGTGTGGAAAAGTTATGGAGGTATCACTACTTTCTGCAAGGTCTCACAAGGTATTTCAGAATTGCCAGTAAACAGGCAACACTGCACTTTGTTCAGTGAATCTGTGTCTTAGGGAATTTCTTCTAGACTTCATCTGATGAGACATTCATGATACACAAGTGAGACAAATAATAGCACGGTCCATCGCTTTCTTCATTTACATTATTAGTCTACAATATGGATGGTTATGCATTTTTTGTAAGAACACATGAAAACCAGGCATGGCAAATACTTACCTGTGCTGCTCGAAGCTCTGAAATCAATTCTGTGAAAGTGTGATTTCTGGCTGGTTCAGAATCCTGGAGGATCCGTGGCTGGATATTATTAGTCTTCTCTATCTTTTCTCTAAATGGTAACAGCAAAACCATTTATGCAATGCAGTGACTTGGTGTACCAACAGTGGTGCACTGAAAAAACAAACATCCCCCCCAAATGGCACTACAAAATCAACCTATGCAAGCTTCAAACAAAGAAAGAAGCAACTATGCAGTAACTTTATACCAAAAAATTCCACCTCTGGGGCGGAACCTGCTCACCTCGCACAAACTTCTTTGTTGGGACTATGTGAGGGAGGGAAACAAAACCTACTCTGCCACAGTGGGACTCACTGAGTAAATTAGGAAATCACTAGGTTTTTTTCCCTCATTACTAGTGCAGGATGCAAATCTTACAGGATCTTTGGCACAGTGAATCGGTGTAGGGGAGGACTTTGTAGAGTAGGGTAGATGGTTGGACTTGATGATCCCAAGGGTCTCTTCCAACCTGAATCTATGATGGTTCCTCCACTACCAGGATCTCCTGTGGCCCCTGATCTGCTATGTATCTTACAGCAGTATCAAAACATTTTGACATGTGAGCCATAATACCTGAACAAGTGTAGCATATGTATTACACTCTGATATGAATATTTGACTTGTAGCATTGAAATAATCCCCAGAGAGAAGACTACTCTTCCCACAGGTCTGCAAGATCAGCAAGAAGGCTGAGAATAATCAATATAAATCAAATCTCAAAAGAAAAAACAAAACCACAGACCCAAGAAACACTGGAAAACGTGTATCTGACAGACCCCCCAGGGATTCTTCATAAATACAGCTGAAAACTACAGAGATTTTAGGTTGGGTTTTTAAATAAGCATACCTTAAGGCTATTAATTCAGACATTAAACACTGATTCTCCTTAAACATTCGTTCCTCATTTTTTTTGTTTTGGACCTGTAGCTCTTTCATTTGTTTGTACAACCTCTCGTTTTCCTAAGGTGAGACAGACAAAGTTAAAGAACATTCATAAATTACTGTTTATCCAGTTCTAAAATAACTGTCTATGCTTTTGCATAGTTTGCCTACTGAAACAGTGGAAGCAAACACTAAATGTTTTATTACTAAGTTTCTAAAACGGGTATCAACTTTCATTATCTTTATGCTAAAGTTGTATACGGTGACCTCTATCATCCCCTCCAAGAGTCTGCTCTCTCTGGAGAACTTGGGCCAGTTCCTCCGCAAAACTAACCTATTCCATTTGTTTACAGCTGCAAGTACTCAAAAGGATTATAAAGTTTACATTATTTATTACTACACTTGACTAAATAATGAAAATCAGCCACACTAATAAGGTTTCCTTGAAATCAGCTGCTCAGATCCTGTGAAAAACATCTTAAAAAAATCAGAACTGTTCAGATACCTAGTATTTCTTAAAGATACTCACTTTCTACTACATTTGGGGCAGAAAATCTGTGGTTGTTTATTGGCCATGAAGTGTCAGATCCTGTGAAAAACATCTTAAAAAAATTAGAACTGTTCAGATTTCTAGTATTTCTTAAAAATACTTGCTTTCTACTACATTTGGGGCAGAAAATTTGTGGTTCTTTATGGACCATAAAGTCTTTTCCCAGTTCTCAATTGACAAGTCAGAATATTTTTACAATTAAGAACAGTTACATGGAATTGTGAAATAACTTAGCCCAAACTAGACATGTGAAATACCCTTAAAATGCTTCTCAATTGACAAGTCAGAATATTTTTACATGGAATTGTGAAAAACCTTAGCCCAAACTAGACATGTGAAATACCTTTAAAATGTGCAATACACATTTGCCCTTCACACCTAAATTTCATCCACTTTTTAGAGAGCAAGATAGCTGTTTTCAACACAAAAGTAGTAACCATTAAACAATTTTCTTTCTGAAACTGGCTAGAACACAGCTTAATAGGCTGTGTGTGCTGCTATACCTGCTGATAACCTTGAATAATGACCTCTTGATCTTCAATTTCTTTTTTGATTTGTGCCAGTTTTTCTTCAGTGATGGGAATTGTTGCTGTATGATGGATCCATCTCTTTTCTTGGGTCAGCTCTTCCATACTTCTTAACTTTCAGAGACACACAATTAATAAGAAAGTTTTGTTAGTAATTTAGAATTCTCTACAAGACGACACTTTGATAATATAAATAGGTCAATCTTATCATTAAGATATGAAAAAAGACCAATGAGACAATCTTATTATTGGGGTTGTACAGAAGCGTTATGAAATAGAAACAGAGTATAAAAAGTTTGGGAAAAGTTAATAAAGCTTTTCCCTCCTTCTGCTGTTCTTACATACCGAGACAGGAGGGTATGTGGAAGAACCCTGGGAATACGCCATAGAGACAAAACATGACATTGAAAATCATCAAAAAACCCCCTAATATCTCAACATATAGTACTTATCTCTAACAAGTGGTATCTGCTAATTGCTTTTCTTTTTTTTTTTTTTTACACAAGTGAGTTAAATAGCAGAGTATAAAAAGTTTGGGAAAAGTTAATAAAGCTTTTCCCTCCTTCTGCTGTTCTTACATACCGAGACAGGAGGGTATGTGGAAGAACCCTGGGAATACGCCATAGAGACAAAACATGACATTGAAAATCATCAAAAAACCCCCTAATATCTCAACATATAGTACTTATCTCTAACGAGTGGTATCAGTTAATCGCTTTTTTCTTTTTTTGCACAAGTGAATTAAACCTTTGCAAAAAATCTTTGCAAATTTTTCTGCTCAGTAACAACTCATTCAGAGTAACATTAATTTAATTGTCAAGCAATGTTTCTCCATTTCTACAGTAATGGGCTACAAGAGGATGAAGTACCTTACTCTGAAGAACAAAGTTTTCCTGACCCAACCGAGAAAGCTCTTTTTCATGCTGTGTTTTCAATTCTACTGTCTTTGTCTCTATTTCCTTCTCCTTTTGTGAAACCCTGCTGGTTAGCTGTTGGATCAGATCACGAGCCGCGTTCAGATCCTCCTCCGCAACTTGCACTCGTTTTAGCAAATAGAGCTCTCTATCACAACTTCTGGTAGGAGAAAATGATAAATCCTAATGAAGAGAAAAATGCAGGGAAACATCACACTGACCCGATTGTTTATCAAAAATTCCGCTCATCAATTTCATTTAACTGGCTCTTGGCAACCACATAAGGCACTTGGAAAAAACCACCAAAACAACTCAACATTCTAATAGCAAAACATCCTGCATTTACTTTAATGAGCTACTTTCTCATTTCTGAAATATATATGAGGAAAATGAGCCTAAAAACCAACAAGAAACAAACACCTCTCATATGAGAGCCACTACACAGCTACCAGAATTATTCTATTATGCATCTCACTTTTTGAAAAGCAGGAATGATTTACGTATTCAATTAATAATTTTTTATACAGTTTATAAGGAGGAGGGAAAATCCATCATGGTACTGCAAATTCAGTCATCTTGGAGAAGTCAGAAGATGCTATTAAATATTTGAAGCAATACAAATAGAAAAGAAACCCAAAGAGTAGTACTAGTCAATATTCATAATAGAATACTTTTACTTAAAAGGTTTATTTAAAATTCTCCCCTTTTCTACCAGAAAATAGTAATTTTTAGAAATTAATAAGCATTCCAACTTCAAGTATATAGAACCAGCCAAGTTATAAAATTATCCAATCAACCGAAAAATGCTATGATTGTACTCGCACATTTTTAAAAGCAAAAACCAGCAGTTGACTAAAGGGACGTCTTTATTCAATATTTCAGCGCTTGCCAATCTTGTGATAATTATTAAAAGTCTTGACAAAACAGGCTTGCAAAGCAAGCTGTATACAGTATAATTAGGAACATCACTGATTATTACTTACAAGTTGATACTGCCTGCAATAATCCACAGCCTGGTGCCCGAGATTATTAACGACTGATTGGCCAGACATAACCCTATTAGTGCTTCCCTTCGAAGCTGGTTCATTTGTTGCAGGTCTTATTACCCTTGTAGCAGATAAGGCGTCTTCATTTAGGCAGAAAGGAAAAGAGAACAAAATTAAATTCAGAATATAATGTCCTTTCAAAAAAAAAAACCTATTCACGTGATCCACCCCTCAGGCATATAAATTAAGTATTCTACAACCTCAATTTTGAATTAAATACAGAAACTTGAGAGCAATGAGAAATTATGAAAAATGTTATTATTTTTTTAAAATAAAAAATTGATGACAAGATAAAATAAAACCCGAAGGAACAACTGAAACAAGTAGCTGGATAATAAATCCTTCATGAAACAAGATTAAGTTCAGTTCTCTGCTCAAGAAGCAGCCAGTTATCTAAGCATACAGAAATACAACCTATTTCAAGATACAGCGGAACAGCAATTTTCAAAACTGACTTTGGAGTGCAGACAGCATACAGAGACATGCAACATCTATTTATGGCATCAAACAGCAACTTGACCTGAAATTAAAAATCAGGGAAGTTCCCCTTAGAGAGTAACTAACACACATGAAACTATTTGCACCTTAGTCTTCTGAATACAGACAGTAACTGTAATTGCTATTTCATTTCTGCCCATAGCAATTTGAGCTAAGAGCTCCTGCTTAGGAACCTTATGCCTGAAAACCAAAGGGCAAGGATAATTTTCCAAATTTAATATTTTTTATTACATTTCTCACACTGCCTCCTCACAAAGGTGCTCCCTTAGCAATGATGGTTAGGGGATTGTTTGGTTCAATGCCATTCTCTTTCCAGCTATAGAGGTTCCTGCAGAATGCATCCTGCTGAGATGAACTTCTGCAGGCACCCGAGACTGCTCCAGAGAAGGGTTATAGCTAGAGAGGGAAGAGCATGGAGTGTAGTGATAGGAGGAGGGGGAACAGTTTTAAACTGAAAAAGAGGAGATTTAGATGAGATATTAGGAAGAAATTCTTCACTGTGAGGGTGGTGAGACACTGGAACAGGTTGCCCAGAGAAGCTGTGGCTGCCCCATCCCTGGAGGGGTTCAAGGCCAGGCTGGATGACTACGTCTACCCATCCTTTAAAAACCTGTGGGTCTAGATTTCTTCTACAATTTTTTGCATTTTTTTTTTCTAAATGTGTAGTAAGAACAGCAAAGCCCTCTGGCTCTTAAAACTCAGACTTCTTGCAACAGAATTACCTTTAGATCTTGCTTTTTCTGCAGGGCTTTTGGCTTTCACACTGGTCTTTTTGAAAGTTTCTGTTGGTGCTCTCTTTTCATTAGCTGGAAAAGACTGTTTTGGGAGTGAAGTGGGTTTCCCATACCCAGAGCTTCTAACCACACCGTGAGGACCATACGAAGATTTCTTTTTATGTAGAGGTGCTGGACTTCTGATATTCTTAGTTGTCATTGATTCTGATCTTTCATTCTTCAAGGAACAAGACTGAGGAGCCTGTGATAGAGCACATGTGTTTAAAGCAAGTTTTAGGCTCTAGTGTGATCTGAACATAGCTTTCACTACCAAAAGAACACAAAACCAGTTACCAGAATTACACAGCTGTAAGGCATGGGGTGGTGGGAAGCATTATTTTTAACCCAATTAATAACATGTCATTTTGCAGAATTCTACTACTTCAGAAGTATATGTAGCTCAAGTATTTTGTACTAGCTCTGTTAAAATGTTCTGGGAAGTTATATTACATGACAGGATCTTTAGCTTACCAAAGGAGGTAGCTCATCACTAAAGGCAAAGCACAGTGAACACAGAAACCCAGTGATGAAAAGAGGAACATTTTGAGGCAGAGGAACCTGATCATTGAAAACAGAGCATGCAACACCTAAGACCAACAAATGAGACATGGGGAAACCCACCAGGATGAATCAGCCAAACAACTCCTCTCCCTGCAATGCCTTGCAGACAGAAGCAGTGATTGCCTACAAGAGCATGGAGCTAATTTAGGGGATGCAGAGAGAAGAGAGTTTGGGGATGCAGGGATTTGGGATTGTGTAAATCTTGTTATGGAATCTTTGAGAGGATTGTGGGAACGTGCAAAATTTATGGGATGTTTAAGGAACGGACAAAAACTTGGTGAAGGAAGAGATTAAGGTGGATCAAGTAGAAACAAGTATGGGAAACGGAGGGAAAACAGGATTAAAGAAGGTGGTGACATGACCAGGATGTGGGTCATTTTGACTGTCTAAGCCCTACTCTGATCATTCCAGTCTCTCCTATATTTTGATTGAGCTGTATTTCTACCAGTCCTCTCTGTGAGTATGCTCTCTGTTCTGAGCTGGTGTGATTACACAGGAGGACATGCTCAGACTCACTGCCACCTCTGAGCTGGGGACATGGAACTGCAGCAGCCCTGCACGTATTGGGCTAGGACAGGAAGAACCCTGCTGGTCCCAAAGTCCACCAGATTTGGCTACTAACAGCAGCAATAGTAATGTAAGAGTTTCAAGAAAAAAATCAGAGCATAATCCAACGACAGGTAGTCTAAAAATACATACATTTTAAATGTATTTCCATATAATAAAAATCTGGTTGATATTACTTACTTGTTTAGCTTTGCCATCTTGTGAAAATGGAGAGTATTGTACTATTTTTTCTCTTGGCACATCAGGCTGTACCTCACTGGTTTGAATTTCTTTCTCAGTTACCCTCTGGAAATTATCATCATTCACAGCTGGCTCCAGAAAGATGCTCTCTTCTCCGTTAATTTTTTCAAATAAGTTTGTCTCCCAAATCTTACTATTCTGGTGCTCTTTAAAGGGCAAGTGGCTGATAAGGTCATTTGCTGTGCTGCTTACCAGTTTCACAGGACTACAAGAGAAAGGAATAAAGTCACATATAATAGGACTTTTGCCTTTTGCTTTTCTATCCCTCTGGGAAAAGTGGGCCATTTTTCCTTTAGGTATCAGCTGTAAAGACTGCCTGAATTTGAAAGAGCCACTAGGCTCCTTTTAAGAACAACCTTGCACATTTAGTTATACAGATTCACCCCCACGCTGTGCAACAAGAGCCATTTCCCAGCAGGGACTGTTTTTGTGGAGGTACCAAACTTGGCTACAAGACAAACACCTGCAAGCATGCAATTAACGTCAATAAAGCAATGAATGGTAATTTGTGCTGGGTGCAGCTATGTGATAAGCTCCCAAAACGGGTTTGTTAAGCATAATCTATTTCTCACAATTCCAGGGTCTGTGCTTTCTCCTCTAGATGCAAGAGCTGGAGCAAACCAGGAGGAGGTACAGAGCACAGGTCAGTGAGAATCACAGCAGTAAGCAAAATAAGAGGATTTGATCTTAGGTTATGGAGACTGGAGAGCAAGGGTAGGATGTGGGCTGAAATCTGTGTATGGAGGAGGGGAAAGAGCAGAAGACTGAGAAAACAGAGATCATTGCTGTGGTAGCTGTGAGAGTGAGGAACACTCCTCCAAATAATTTGGCAAACGTTGCTGCTTATCATTCCAACAAAGTTTGGGAATCCCTGGTCTAAACCAATTAACCCTGTATATTCATTTTATGATTCACTGCAAATGTCATAATGCCAGAGCAAGACATAATGAAATTTCAGTATTTAATTAGGGAACAAGACAGATGAGTTATTTAGTAAGCTATTTTTCACAAATAGTTAATGGACTTCAGTTATTACAATTCTAAAAATGCATTCTGAAATAAATACCTTTCGGGCTCCACATCGACCCCTCTGATATTGTATGAATGTCCTTTAATTGGTTTCATCAATTCTTCCACAGTAGGTAAGTCTAATTAGTGGAAAATAAAAAATAAAAATTAAAACACTTAGAAAAAGTATTTAGAAAAAGGATTTGTATAAAGGACAAGATTTAAAAGTGTTTCATAAATGCAGTATTAAAGATACTACCAGTTCACTCAGTTTAAATGCTTGTACAACACGTGCTTTCCTTCGAGGTATTTACCCGATTCAATAGTTGACATATTTTTGGAGCAGAGGTTGTTATTTTGTGAAACACCTTGCACTAAGCACTCTGAGATGGCTGCTGCAGAATCGTGCAGGTTTTGCTCATGGGTGTCCCCCAAGGACTGACCAAGCTGATGATAGGCTTGGTGTAACGCTTCCATGTCGCTGGTGGTTTGCCCATAGGAAGTGCCTGTGGAAAAAAAAATTAAAATAAAAACTTCATTTTTATAGTAAAAATAAACAGTTGCCAAGTTAATTAGTACATACTAAATAGTCTCATCTACAGTTTGCATGCCTCCCCACCCCTCTCCCAGCCTCAGTACTAAAACTAACAGCGTATATGATACAACTGTATTAACAGCTGCCATTTGAGCCATACTCTGGATATAAGTGCATACACTGCTGCCCAAACTTGGATAATGTATATAATTTTATAATTGTGTTCAATGCTGTCAAAGAAGAATTTTAGCTGTGATGAATAACCAAAGGAGGTGCTATTTAAAAATCAAACTGCAATGTCAAAAGCAACTTTACAATAATCATGTGTAAAAAGGTGTCTTTTTAGCAGAAACGTGACTTTTTCCTGAAATACTTCCTCCTCCTTTCAAGAATTGTTACTAAGAGCCCAGTTCACTTATAACCTAAGCACAAATGAAGACATCAGAGCCATCTGTTCTAACTGAAGTAAGATTTTTGCGGTTTGGGGCTTTGTTGTGTGGTTTTGTTTGGTTTTGGTTTGTTTTCTTCTAAAGCAACCCTTACCTGCTTCATTCATTTCAGTTCCACTGACTTCTTCAGGCAGCTGATGTTCACCTAAAGCTACATCTGACGTTTCAAAGGCCTTTTGAAGTTCTGTAGTTGAATCTTGTGAATCAAGTAATACAACTAAAGCAAAGAAGATGAATGTTAAAGAAAATACAATTCTCATGCTTTGTCTATATTGGAATTAAAAGTATACCAAAGCTTATCTTGTACTAAACTTCACTAAACTATATTAAAGCTTATAATGTACTAAACATGCAAAAACCAGTATATAGATTATTCTAATGCTATTAAACTGATTAACTCTGATTACAAGCACCAAAATCTGAGTACTGACTAGATGTAGTGAAATAAACAAATACACTGATGATCACTTTGAAGTGCAAACTTGTAGATTTCTCTTTAACCAACAGACTTTGAGTAGAAGACAATAACATCAGGTGAAAAATATCAAAATTGTAAAAATTGGGTGAGAAAATTTCAAAAAGCTACATTTAGTATTCTCCTACTGATCAAAGTTTGTACTTTACCTTTAGCCAGCATGCCAGCATTTGCTTCTTCCTAACAAAGACAATAAAAAAAATAATTACTTTTTGAATTTCAGGGGAAACGAAATCAAGCTGAACAGCCTTTAGAAGTTAGTCCTAAACCTAAGAACAGTTCTTAGAACCAAGCAGTTCTTGGTGTTAGAACTTTAATAGAACGACATAGTCCCAGGACAACTATATCCTTTTCTTTCAGACAGTATATATTATATAAAGGTTTACTATATTTACAGTTATATACTGCAGAGATTCTACAATTCATGCAAATAATAGAAACATTTGGTAGGTTATACCTGTTCTTGATGACTTAAATCAACTCCTGATAGGATGTTTTGATTCACCTGACTCTCTTCTGTTTTAAAGGCAGGATCAGCATCTGCTTCTTCTTCAAAATCATCACTGTAGCTGCCTGGAGAGTAAAATAAACATCAAATTCAATATTCAAGGAAGACCAAGCAGCTTTCATTTCTGTTATTCTGTTTAGCAAGGTTCTCACCATTCTTAGTGTACACACAGAAAAAAAATAAAAATAAAAACAATTCAAACCAACGATTTTGCAAGATGGTATTACCAGATTTCTCTTCATGTGCGGATTCCTCTTCTCCTTTTTCATTTTTTTCATTTCTGAGAAACAAAACGAAAACTTTACTCTCTTCTTGGACAGCTAAAAAATATGGGGTTTTTTTCTATAATTCCAAACTTTGATACTTGTTACAATTAACAATAAAATTAAAAACCCAAATTTGTCCATCATATTAAATAATAGGTATGAAAGGGAGATGTCAGCACAATTAACAATAAAATTAAAAACCTGAATTTGTCCATCATATTAAATCATAGGTAAGAAAGGGAGATGTCAGCCATTATTAAAGTAAATGTTCAAGTTTTTACAGGTGTCCATAGTTAAAATTCCCGATCTAACTCTTAAAATCACTCCCTTTCTGAATTCTCTCCACGATCATTAGCTTCTCAGAGATATTTTTATCATCTTCCTCTTCTGACCTTCTCATTCTGTATTAGCAAACAACCAAAAAATCTCCTTTCTTTCCCCTTTTTCTGTGAAGTTAAAGTTTTGTCCTTACCTAAAACTCTCCAGAATTCTGACCATCCAACTGTTTTCTTATTGGAAGTTTCCTTCACCCTCACCCTTTTTAGCAAAAGCAGCCTGAATTGTCCCTTCATCCCTTTCTCTCACATACGTTTGAATTTATTTTCATGTATCTGATTATAAATTAATTGCCCTGGTCTGTGAAGATTTTGTATCCTTCCTCTAGATTAATTTGTAACATCGTGTCTAGGGGGTCACAGAATCTCTCCTGATCTGCTTCCTTGTTATTATCAGTTATCAACTCTCACTTAGTTACACCTCTCAATAAAGAACGTTAAATCAACTTGTAGCTACTGAGTTATGCACAAGACCGTGTAGCTACATCCACTCATCACCAAGTCATGCTCTCACCTTATTCCTTTCTTTTATTTATGAAATCAACTTGTAGCTACTGAGTTATGCACAGGACCATGTAGCTACATCCACTCATCACCTTGATGGTCTCACCTTATTCCTTCCTTTTATTTATCAAGCCCACTTCTGTCTTTGTCTTCAAAAAAAATAAAGACAACACAAAAGATACAAACCGAACCCACCAAACCAAACAAACCACAACAAAAACAAGAACCCCAGAGAACTCATACAGGTCTTGTCCCACAAAATCTCAGTGACCATGATATTTGAATACCTGTCACGTGTTCCCACTAATATAGTTCACAACTTTTCTTCCCTCTAAATTACCGTGCAAATGGTGCTAGTAATGCAGAATCATTGAAATCCAGCTCTTTATTTAATCTTGAATAATCAATAGTAGAGGAAGCTTCTCGTTCAAGCTTGGCAAAGAAGATCTCTTTTTCTTCTTGTTCTTCCAAGGTATCCAATCCAGCTCCCAAAATACTTTGATTAGGCCCAGAAGCTAAGACTGAATCTAAATTCCAAAACAAATAATAAACTAATTGTGTCTATAGAACTGTATTAATAGTTAACAGCAACTATAGACAGACACACAAACTATTCACTTTCAAATCATCACAAGCAAGTACCAGGAGCCTACAGCTCATGAGGTGCAGCTGACAGAAGTAAAGAATCCTGACTTGCAAGGAATTAAGGGAAACAGTTAAAGGAGTTTATTGAGATGTAGGCAACTTCATGAAATGGCTGCACTCTGGGTTCTCACCATTTGTCTCCAGGCTGTCTCCACTTTGGGAGACAGCAATCCCATTACTTTTCTGTATCTCTTCCACGTGGATATTCTCACCCGTTTCCTCCACAGGCTGCGAAGTGTTTGGCATCTTGACAAAGCTGCCGTTGGCTCTGCGCGTTCCTAGGGAAGAAGTTGCAATATTCTTGACTATCATCTAAAAGCTATTTGTATGACACTTTGGTCTTTGAGTCATCTTCCAGAGCCATCAGTTTTAAACTCATGCTGCAAGTGCAAAGATACCCAGTCTCTTGAGTCATCTTCCAGAGCCATCAGTTTTAAGCTCATGCTGCAAATGCAAAGATACCCAGTCTCCCAAATCATACCATCAACCCAACTCTGATAAAAGCCATCACTAAACCATGTCTCTAAGCACTATGTCAACCCATCTTTTAAATACCTCCAGGGATGGTGCCTCAGCCCCTTCCCTGGGCAGCCCATTCCAGGGCTTAATAACCTTTTCCATATAAAATTTTTTCTTGCCCATTCCAGGGCTTAATAACCTTTTCCATGTAAAATTTTTTCTTAATATCCAATGTGAACCTCCCCTGGCACAACTTGAGGCCATTTCCTCCTCTCCTATCTCCTGTTCCTTGGGAGAAGAGACCGACCCCCCCTGGCTACACCCTCCTTTCAGGGAGTTGGAGAGAGCCAGAAGGTCTCCCCTCAGCCTCCTTTTCTCCAGGCTGAACACCCCCAGCTCCCTCAACCTCTCATTTAACTTCACTTTCTATTATAAGGCTACACCCTCCTTTCAGGGAGTTGTAGAGAGCGAGAAGGTCTCCCCTCAGCCTCCTTTTCCCCAGGCTGAACACCCCCAGCTCCCTCAGCCTCTCATCTAACTTCACTTTCTATTACGTGATATGTAAATCTTGTTTAATGACAATTAATTAGTCTGTTACATACATTTTCTTCCCATCCTTCATGGTTGTACACAAACATATAGTTCAGCAAGGGGCAAATATAACCACTGGAGAAACTGACTCACTGTAATTTTACTTACGGAGGACAATCACACCCACACACCCTGTACAGAAATTAACACTTCTTTGTTAAAAGTCTATTCATTTTGTTTGATCTACAGACTTTTGAAAACTGTAGCCATTGGCCCAGCAGGTCCTTTTCATTTGTTGCAAATTAAATGCTTTAAGGAAGAAAAAAAAGTAATTAAAGTTACTTAAAGGTCATTGATGAACACAACTAGTTCTTCCATTCTCTGTGTTTACGCAGCTACAACACGCAGGGACTCTCCTTACTGTAATTTCATTGCTGTGAGGGTTCGACATCACCTCACCAACGTGGTGAAATCTGCTCTCAGACAAAACGCTGCCTTATCTACTTAGAGAAAAAAATAAAAGCCAAATATTGCCGTACACAGCTCTCAGACAAAACGCTGCCTTATCTACTTCCTTAGAGAAAAAAAATAAAAGCCAAATATTGCTGTACACGACTAGTTAAAAGGCAGTATCAAGTCCCTTCTGCCTGTCCCTATGACACATTTATACTTAAAAATTCTTTAGAGGTTCTCTTTGGAGAAGGGCTAGGAGAAAAGCTGCTTCTGCATTTTATCCAACGCCATATGAAAGGGTTTAACAGTTATAGAAGGGAACTGAAACCACGCACGTCTTTTCTAACACAAATCTCCAGTTAGTAAAATAAACTCAGAATTTTTTTGTTCTGTCTGACCAAATGATGTTTAGGCTGTAGCTGTGTCCTTGTACTGAACACACCAGGAGGGGTGACGACAACCCCGTTTCCTGCTGGCAGGAGACTGCAGGAGATGCCTACATCAATAACCCTTCAGATCACGGACCTAAACCGGTCCTCAGTCTGCTCATCGAGTGCTGCAACTCCAGCCTGTTACTCTGTCCTCTAGAAAGGTCCAACCAAGTCCCTTTTGAGAAGTTCCATACTTTTTTTTCCTTGATTTCCATGACAAAGTCCCCTTTAAACATTTTATTGGGAAATGTCACTCCAGCTCCATCCCCAACACACCTCACTGACTCCACTTCCCTGCAAAAAACTTCAGAGACATTTACTAAAGGTCAAGCTCCACCTGTATCCAAAGTCAATGTCTAAATAAATACATTTTGCCACTACACTGAAAAGCATAAAATGGTTCTAAGTGCTGAACAGAAGTGGAAAAAGTACGAATAGTCCCTTTCTCTGGTAGGTAAATGCAGTAATTTAATATCATTTACCCTCTATTCCAGTCATCAAGACAGCAAACGGGAGCTGGGTCACAGGATTTTTTGCAGAGTTTGAGATTAGCCAGGACCTAACCCAGACCTCCAACATCCTATTTTTCAATGAGAAAATGTTAGTAGAATCAAAAATAAACTGTTACTGCCCTCCCATGGAAGATTTACTAAGAGAAAGGAGATGGCAATATACAACAGTAAAAAGATAACTGTTACTGCCCTCCCATGGAAGATTTACTAGAGAAAGGAGATGGCAATATATGACAGTAAAAAGATAATTAGAACTTAGAACAAAATTTTTGAGGAAAACATTCTCGAGTTGTTTTATTTAAATCACCTCAAACTCAATGAATTTAGAACAAAATTTTTGAGGAAAACATTCTCTTGAGTTGCTTTATTTAAATCACCTCAAACTCGATGAAATTTCTGACAGATTTACATTGATCTTGAAGGTTTCATGGGATTTATGGAAACTAACTCATACTTTTTAAGTATTTTGCCAGTTTAAACCAGACCACAGCTTTTTTTTAATAAGCCCCTCCTACAATAATCTGAAAAATCAAATAGTGTTTAGCAGCCACTGAGTTTTTAAACTCAGCTACTTCCAATTCCTAGGCACCCCCCCAGATTACAGGGGATACAACCATTGCTAATGAAGGCAAAAATGCCTTTTTTACTTGCTCTACACGATCTGAACTCTGAGGAACCTGTCAAACTCAGGAAAAAAAGTATCAACTTGGATGGATTTCAAAGTCTCCATTGTGTTTTTTGGATGTTTGAACAGTCCTACTGATTGCTGTGGAGCTTGCAAGAGTGATTTATTTTTTGAGGGGTATTTGTTAATTTTTATGAAAACCTCTTGAAGAAGCAGATTCCTTGAACTGCCCATTCTTCACATTATCAATTCTTGCAATATTTTGTAAGGCTCCTGATACACAATATTTTTCTTTTAAGCCTTGCCCCTTGAAATTCATTAAAGTAAGAAGATGAGTTTCACCTAGAAAAATATTTCTAACCACCACACTGGCAGATAAAAGTTTAAGACTTTAAATACAAAGGACTCAAACCTACATTCAGTAACAAACAGCTATTTAAAAACGAACTTCTTTTCTCCTTAGTCTCACCAGGACGTTCAGAATTGAGCCATTTTAGCTTTTTAATATCATATAAAACACAGTAAATTTGTTACCCTCCGAATTGTCTGGGCTGTCAGAAGTGAGGCTTCCTTCTTCTTTGTTTAGGCATGAATCTTTCTTGTCCTTATGAAATTTTTCCAGCATTTTGAATTTAGACAAAGCCTTGCTGCGAGATGCACTGGAAGAGGGTTTAGGGGGAACTACTTTTAAGCGTACACAAACATTTATACGTTTTTATACATAATGGGCAGGGAATAAAGAGAGAATTAAGATGTGAGAATTCAAATTGCTGCTTCTGAAAAAGTAGTTCAGTTTCTTCTAGATTGAATTATCTACGATTTTATAGCTATAACTAAAAATTAATAGCTTCTGGAAATAAAACTCTCTTAAAAATAAAAAAAAGAGGAAAAAAAAAAGACAAGTTCCTTCTTGCTCCACATATTTCTTGTATTCAAATACAGTGTTAAAGGAGCTCAATATATTACGTGGAAAGAAAGAAAACTACTAAAGCTACTTCAACAATAGAAGAAGTTTTGTACTACAAGTTTTGAAAGAAAGCATCTAGATCAGTTCAAACAGTGGAAAAACATAGGTACAAAAATGTGAGTTACTACTGTATGTCACAAGAACTGCATGTTGTTTATCAGTTCAAACAGTGGAAAAACATAGGTACTGTATGTTGTTCGCTCAAACCCTTGTGAGGACTTGCTGAGCAGCAAATACAACCAAACGCCTTCCAGTCACATGAGTAGAATTAAATTTTAGATAAGAGTAACTACGTTGAAAACTGTGCTCTCTCCTGATGCTGAGGTGACAGTCACACCACACACTTTACATACCTCAGGCTTGCCAGATGCACTGTATTGGACTGTTCCTTGTAAGGGTGGAGGGGGCTGCTAAATTGGCTAATTCAGAGAAAACTTTTAGTGACAGGTCTTTTGAATTTACCTTGACACAAGAGAGAGCAAGAGTAGTCTAAGGGACAAGGCCAAACACTTCTGCTGTCTAGAAACATGACTATGGTGGGCATATGTGACCAGAAGGTGACACAACTCAGAAACATCCAAGATGAGGAAGCTGGTGAGCCTATGGCAGGTGTGCTGCAAGAGGAGAAATGGTATGAAATCCATTCTGACACAATGCATGGGTTCTTTCCTTCCCTCAACTGATGTCCAAGTCCAAAGAGGAGAAATGGTATGAAATCCATTCTGATACAATGCATGGGGTCTTTCCTTCCCTCAACTGATGTCTGGTGAGGCATCCCTTCTCCAGATTTATATTCTGCCACATTTTCCAGGAAACAGAGTGTTGATAGCATGCCTTCTGCTGTAAATAACGCAAACACCTGATGCCTTTTAAAACAATAATTTGAAATAACTCCTTCTATTGCTCATATTTCAAATATTAAGCCCCATTTGAGAAATAGATTCAGTTTTAGTGTTTATCTCCCAGACCGAGATGCTTTACAGCTATTCTATGCAAATGAAGCTAAGGAAAACAGGGCAGCACACACGCTCTAGAAAGCTAACATAGGGAAATGTTCTATAGGCTACATACACCAGCACAATCTAAACAACAAGTGCCAAATATTTCTTTGTCATGGCTCTCCAAACTGTTGTTGATCTGCTTGAATTTAAGACCAAAGCCACATTTAAATGAGTACATACAAATTAACTGCTGTTGTTTTTTTACACAAAAGTATTCAACGGATCAACGTTTATAACTCATAATTATTCTTTGGAGTTTCTCTTCAGTTAGCATAAAAAGTGACTTCACATGAAAGCTCGAATCTGAAATTACATTGACTAAAATAATCCTGCAGATTAAACAATTTAGTTTGTCATTAGTACACCAAATGTACCGTTTCCCTTCCAGAGGCAGCGTGCACAGAGCAGCCTAGTGGTCAGCAGAGGGAAAAGAATCACATCAATGGAAAATAAACAGAACATTTATCTGGCTGCAATCTTTGAAATTAAAGAAACAGAACAGTGAATATTAATATTCATTGCTTATGTTTAATACTCTCTGTTCTAATACATCATTATAAGTAGTGATGTACGGTGTAATGACAATTGAGCAAAAGTTCACACAGTTATTAGTTTCTTCTGGAAATGACAAATGAAGTAAGTGGCAGTTTGTTTTCAATGAGAACACTATGTTCAAACGCACTGTTCACAAAGGATTTTCTATAGGAAACACACTATTAATACAAAGCTGATATTGAATAAATTTAACAAAACATGTTTAATCAAATACCAGATTGGGAATCTGAATGGGGACTCTTTTGTTCACTATTTCCTGCTATTTCAGCATGGTTTTCCATCATTTTCTTCTCTTTCCTCAGTTTAACAAATCTTGTCTGAAAATCTCAAAAGGCAAGACAAACAGCAAGAACAGACAGGCAAGCAAGACAGGACAGGAATTCTTATCATCCAATTTCTTTTCATCATTTAAACGACAAAAGCAAGTAGAAAGGACATTAGTTAGAGGTAGGTCTTTAACCCGTCAAATATGGAAGACAGTGTCTTGAATCATAATTTGCACATTTCAGTTTAAAGCTGAAGAACAAAGAGTTCAAACATGCCTAGAATAACAAGTTGAATTATTTTAAAGTGTGCTTTATCTTCTCAGCCAAATTAACAGAAATAGTCTATGCTGTTTAGCACTAATCTATAAAACCGAGTGAAAACAGGCTCTTAGTTTAAATCTCTGCCTATTTCCTGGCACTTCTGCAACAAGATGCCTTGGAAAAAACAATCAGACTACAAATAAATGTATAGAATATATTTTGTTTTCCAGTCATGTCTTTCAAGAAAGCATGATATAGACACTGACGTAACTCAAAACAAAAATCTCAGACTGGAAACAACTTATCAGCTCAGTGCATTATAGCATGATATAGACACTGACGTAACTCAAAATGAAAATCTCAGACTGGAAACAACTTATCAGTGCATTACTCAAGCTAATTAGCCAGACTCCACTTTGTTAATATATCAATGTATCTATACAGTGTCACTCAAACATACCATCCACTTTGTTAATATATCAATGTATCTATATAGTGTCACTCATACATATGGAGCATGTATTTGTTACGCAGTGCCACACCGTGGGTGGAGAAAAGATTTATACATTTATGTAAGTTTGATTCATGATACCAAAACACTTTAAAAATAATAATTCTATTAGCTGACAGCCTATAAATAAAGCCCTATCTGCAATCAACGTGGAGGTTCAAGCCTAGAATCCACAAGGATCTCAACCAAATTTCCAAGAATGCTAACATTACACTTTTCAGAAAAAAAATTCAGCTTATTTCATTGTCACTCATACATATGGAGCATGTATTTGTTACGCAGTGCCACACCGTGGGTGGAGAAAAGATTTATACATTTATGTAAGTTTGATTCATGATACCAAAACACTTTAAAAATAATAATTCTATTAGCTGACAGCCTATAAATAAAGCCCTATCTGCAATCAACGTGGAGGTTCAAGCCTAGAATCCACAAGGATCTCAACCAAATTTCCAAGAATGCTAACATTACACTTTTCAGAAAAAAAATTCAGCTTATTTCATAAGTTTTTATAATCACAGCAATATTTATTTTCTTCTTCCCCCCACAGGAGAATTATTTCACTATTTAGGGCACATTTAGTAACCTTACAAAAAGGTACAAATCTAAATCATCATCTTGTCAGTCATCCCGTTCAGTAACTTCGGTTGCAATGCTGTTGTACACAACATACACACACTAAAGAATATTAGAGCTACCAAAATTGGATTTGGCAAAGTACTTGGAAGCATTCAATACAGAGACACACACAGAGGAAAATAAAGGAGCAGTTCTAGAAGCCTATCCATGCGGAATTCCCTACAGGCACCTGACCTGTCGTTTTAAAACACTGCAAGTGTATCCCCATGAACTAAAATCACAGCATAGTTTGTAGTGTGTGCACATATGTATATACCCCTCTTTATGTGTGGGATTCACCATTCTCAGTTGTAGCCACATAAAAGTTACCTACTTCTGCAGCTGCAGAGGAAAACTCCTTTTACACTGAAGGTGACCAAGTTGGCCTCTGCAAATGGCTCTCTTTTGGCTCTAGGTTACTTGCCCTAAATTGGATTTCAGTTAGCAGAATGGCACTCATCATAGTACAGATTGTTTCTGTGCTATGCAGTTCCTAAACTATCACAGTGTATATATATATATCACAGCATACAACTGCTACTACTTGGGAGTGTCCAGTGTGACAAATATAGTCCTTTCCTCATGGAGCGATACAATCAGGAGCTCTGCTCCATCCCATAGTGTTATCCTCTTCTTGCCAAATTAAAACCTGGAAAGCCCTCTAATAAAACTTAAATGCCCCTCTGCTTGGCAATATTAAACAACTGGGTGTGATATGGCTTACTGTGTATGTCCCACAAGTGTGGAATTCCATGCAGACAGTGGTGATAGAGGTGTAGCTGAAATAAAACTAATAATGTGGCAGAAGAGTGGTGGGGAAAGAATTCAGTGCACAGATCTAGCATATTTGCCCCACATTTCTGTATTCTCGATTTTATTACATTCAACTCCCAAGACATGTTGGACTTTTGATTCAAAAAGCATTACACACAGATCACTTTCAACTCTCTCTGAAAAAATCAAGCCCCTCATCAAAAGTATGAAGATGAACAGGCCAGCAAGTGAATGGATCACATACTGGCAAAACTGGGTAGGCTCACCTTCTGAATGTTTTCCTGTTACAGGAGAAACCTTTTCTAAGAGAGACCTTAAAAAGTGTCCTTTACCAGAACTCTTTTTTTTTTTTTTTTAAATACACCAATAAACTGCAGATCAAGATCATGTTTCAGTTCTAATAGCTCTACCTCTGGTTAAACTCCACAGCTGATAAGATATTCTTAATTTAAAATGTAAAAGACATAGAATTAGTTTGGATGGGAATAACTTGATAAAAATCACATTATTTCTTCTGATTCTGCTTTGCATCATACTTAACCCATACAAGCACAGTTCTCTAAAACTTGTAGTCACACTGTCTTTTAAGTACCCATTCCACTGGTTTTTGGTTTAAGCAGCATGAGAAGCATCATTATGGGTTGCCTCAAGCATCTCAGAAAAAAACATGGAAAAACACTGAACTTTTAAAGTCACCTGAAAACTTTCTCTGCTAGAACATAGAAAACTGAGGTCGTGCTAACCCCTTAATTCTCACACTTTACCCAGCAAGAACACTCTGTCCTTCCATTATTGGAAAAGCTGCAAGGAAATCATATCAGCTCATAACTACCTGACATGTAGTTGCACTGTGCCTGATGGCAACTCTCTCATACCCACCTGAGCTTTTCAGCAACATCTTAAAAAAGTCCAGATGATACCTAAATGGCACAACTGCTGACTAAAATTTGGCTCCCAACACTGACAGGACAGAGCTGAGCTTAAAATTGTGGACTACCAGCAGGACTTTAACTCTTCTCATGTGAAAAACTGATTTCTGGAACTTTGTGTTAAGCTCCAGTTGTAAATTATACAAATAAGAAGCCATCAACTACTAAACGAGCAAGTGGAAACTAACTCTTTATAGGCTGTCTGGAACTTTGTGTTAAGCTCCAGTTGTAAGTTATACAAAAGAAGCCATCAACTACTAAACAAGCAAGAGGCAATCGCCCTGTGGAAATTAACTCCTTATAGGCTTTACTACCCAATAAGAAAATAATGAAGAAATGGAAAACTAAAGGAGGAAAGGTTGCAAACAAAAGTATGTTTTCTTCCAAAACTATGTAACCAGGTAAATACCAAACTAGCAATCACACCATCACAGCCCTTTTCCCCTTGAGCCATGGATCTTAGCAAGGACAACGTTGAAAATACTGACACAGACATGCATCTTGGAATCAGCTGCTGTTGAAAAGCTTTTCTGTACTTCCCCAACCCATTACAAACATTGCCATTAACATAAAATTATACAAATTGGTCTTTTACCTCTCCAGTTTGGAAAATAGAAATTTATAAAACACACATACGAATATTTCAACAGAATTCATAAATTACAGTTTCTAATTACCTTACTATTTATAATGTATTTACTCTTTATTAGTTTTAATAACTTGTCAGAAAAAAACAGCAGAAAGCTTCCTTACAGCTCGAATGCGATCCCTTTCAAAAAAATACAATTACATTTGAGTTGTTACTTTAGAAATTTGCATTGTAATGTCCTAAAGCACTTGAGTGGCATCAATTTACAGGCCTATATGAAGCATGAGAAAGAACTAGCCTGACCCCCTGTGGCCAAAAAAATGCAAAACTACATTATTTACCACCATCATCCGAATCTTCCTCTGATATCCACCACGGCACTGCATCCTTTTTCTTCGTTTCTTTTTTCCTGGGCTGACCCAAGGTCTCAAGAACGCTCGATTTTTTCTTTGAATCTCCAAGTGAATCATCTGAAAGAGACTGAGTCAATTGCACACAAGATTAAAGACAGCGTTTATGTTTCCACATTCTGTAACTGTCCACTCAATTCTGGACTTCTCAGTTCAGATGGCTCTCTTTACTCCCCACTGCTGGCCTTTTTTGTACATGCATGACAAAGCTTTGTAAGAAGCAATAACTACATTCATGTGGCATAATACAGCATATTATAATTACCCCGCTGCCATAATTTGGATATGTTAAAAGTTCACTGCTTAGTAGAGCTTATGTTCAAATGAAGAGCATTATCAGCTCTTTTTCAATTAGTTACAACACATAAGAACCAAAATCCTGACTACATCCCTGAAGATAACAAAGTAGAGCAGAAGCAGTTTTGCTTTGGCCCTGCTTTCTTCATGAACAACATTATTAATATTCTAAAAATAAACCTTCACAAGCAACATCGTTGCTCCCAGCGAATCACATTTCAGAAAATAGTTTTAATACTTTGTTTTCACAGAAATTAACAGAAATGCCAGATTCATCGTTACCCAACTCTGTATATTAAGCTTTCATACATGTTAGTCACCTGTGTGATTTTGACTGATAAATCAATGGAGAAAAAGTCTCCAAGTATGAACATCCTATGAATTTAAGTTTATTTTATATTTAATTTATATTTATTATATTTATATTTAATTTATTTTTCAGGAAGGAAAATACCTGCAGACAGTTCATAAGATAAGGGCATTTTTTTGAAGTTATGAAGATTTTTTAAAGGAAAACATACTGATCTCTGCTCTTGTCCTTTAATAAAGCTCTTTGTGGCTTACAGCAGGCTCAGAGCCACAATTAGCAGTCCAGACACTGAACAAGGAAATATATTCATTAAGCCAGTGCACTGCAACTTTATACACTACATATTCTTTGTGCTTTAAGTCAGTAAACATGGGGTTAAGGAGCGTGGCATGCTTCTTATTTTTATCTAATTTTTTTGCCATAACTGTTGAAACCAACTGTACCAAAGTGTCTTAAAGAATACGTTGAATAGAGTTAGCAAAAGCCATCAAGTGTAAGAGACAAAAAATTCACATATGAAATGCGTCATATGGGAAAATTTCAAAAGCTTCACTTTGCTAATGATCACAAATAAGAAAATGTGACAGTAGAAAGAGAAAACTAAAGGCAACAGGACTGTGAGTAAATTGTGAGTAAAACAGAAGGGGGTGTTTTAATAAAACAAGCCCCTGCAGTCCACTGCCTGATTTCTATCGCATAAAAAGCGCTACCATAAAAGCCAACCTTCAATTTATATGGGTCTAACATGAACACCTATAAATCAAACGCCAATTATCCCAAACCATCATTTAAGAAAAAAATAATTATAAGAAAATAATAATTCTTGTTCATATCTCTGACCAATAACATCTTTAGAGCTCACAGTTTCACTTGAGAAATCTAAATGCCTGTCCTAGAGTCTCAGAAAGAAAATTTAAGTGCTCTGAGCCTTGCGCTTTAATAAAACACAATTTTAATAAATTACAAAACCGCCAGACAACAGGATGTATTGCAATTTCTTTAAGTTGGCTCAGTGACATAGAACAAACCAGCTTTACATTCTTAATAAACGTCCTATAAATAACAACTTCCTTACACTAGTCAGAACACAAGTACTAGTGCCATTGTCCCACTGTCCCCAAAGGCCAGAGAGTCTCCTGCTGCCTTGAAGTACTGACAGGTGCTTGATGCAAGCTCTGTTATCACTTGCTGTTTCTTTTACGACTAACAGCAGCCTCTACTCCACGAGCAGATTTTCTGTGATGCTCATACTCCTGAGAGTACTGTAACTAAAGAAACTGAAACTCCCACAGGTGGTTCTCAAGTTCTGGAAACTTTCTCCGTCCAGCCATCTCGTCAACTGCAGACAGTAAAGCTGCAGCAGCTGGGAAAGAAATGCTGACACGAAAATACTAGTGCATTTTTCCCAACATGTCAGTTGTCTCAACAGCAAAACTTACAGGTTTTTTTTTTTTTTTCCTTCCTTTGAAAAACAGTACATAAATAAATCAATCAACTTTTTGGACCAGTAATGGCTTTTCAGTGCCAGTAAGCGTCACCGATTTCTTCCTTCCCCTCCTCTATAAAACAGCCTGTCAGCCTTTCAGGAACTCAGACACACATAAAAAAAAAAAACCCCAACAAGTTTCAGCTCTTTAATCTCAATTTAAATAAAAGTCAAAAGACTCAGTTTTAAGAACTGGGACAATTACATGGCACATAACCAGCTTACCACCTCCTATACACATGAAAGAATTAAAAAAGTAGATAAGTAATACAAAATTGGATCTAAAACACTCAGACTTTCATGACAGTTAATTAATTCATGAAACAAGTCTTTTTCAATAAAATCAGTCTAGTCCAAATTATATTTTTAGTACAACATAATATTTTAATATATTTGATCTTTTAATAAAAATTAAAGATGTTTTTCAAACACGGTTTCATGTGTAGTGTTACCCTTCCAGGTACTACTCTACAGATTTTCTAATAAGTATGGTATAGCCTTTCCTTTCAAAAAATCTTCCTTCTCAGCTGTCCATGAATATCAAGCAGAACAAAAGTCAGCCTAGAAGACCAAAAGCAGACAATGGCTTTGTCCTGACTTTGCTTTGCTTGAAGTGTCATCAAAAAAAGCAATTAATTGAAGCACTGTGAATTAGAAAGAGCTCCTCGCATTGAATGTCCCAAGAGAATTTCACAACCAACAGGCAGAAAATGCAGGAGTGATACCAGTATGACATAAGATGATATGTAAATTAATAGGGGAAGTACATTAAAGCAAGACACTGGTGGAGTGGAAGGACCACAGGCACACAGACAATGGAGGAGGAAGAGAAAAATTATGTATGACAACAGGCTGTTCTGGCAAGGGGTTGGGAATAAGTGCAACCAGGCAGACATTTGTGTTTCCTTCTGTATAACACTAAAAGTCTAGAAAATCCCCCTCACTAGTCTAGAAAGTCTAGAAAATCCTCTTCACTTTAAAAAGTTCAGTGCATATGCCAAAATACTTTAGTTTGTTCCTCAAATTAGACTCGCATCATCCAACTGTACCTCCTGTCTTTCTTTAACTGTATATGTTTTAGTTGCAAACATACATAAAATCCTCCCCCCAAACAAAGGCAGTTTTGCTAACTATGACTTATTTAAAAGGGAAAAAATACCCTGCTCTATTTCTTCTCTGAAAGAGAAATGTTGTCTTCCTCAAACTATTAAGAAACAGTTTTTGCAATTCCTACCCCCCCCGCCGTTATACTCTCAACACAATCACCTACACAAACAAAAGCAAAGGGAGGGACGTAACAGAAGATGCACACACATGAAATAACGGAGAGTAGACAATGCTATTGTTATTTGAGTCTGTATCTAGCTGGCAAAACATAAAATAATGCATATTTTTAATGACTGGATTGGCAGTACATGTGTTTAACCAAGTTTAAACACTTTACAAACAATTTTAGTTTGAAAAATTAAGACACGAGTTGTTAAAAGTTACATTCTCTGGAACATGCCAAATATCACTTAGAATAATTCAATGCAGTTATTTTGATTTTTTTTCTAACTCAAGCATTCTCAATGTGGGCAACAGTTGAGAAGCAAGAAGAGCATGTCAAATGAGGAACAAAACAGTAGAAGAAATCATATGCAGAGTTTTGTCAGATGTGCAAAATAAAGAATAAATCTCCTTTCTCTTCCCGAGAGCAACTCCCTTCTTAACAATAATAAGTAACGAACTTTTGACAGAGATGCAGAGACTATTTTTCTATTTTTACTAACATTAACAATTTCAGTGAATTCAAGAATGTTAACTCAATTACATCATGAAGTTGAAGGCCAAAATCTACCTTAAAGTTATTTGTGAATTACTTTTCAGATAGCATTTTGATTTTCTATTATCTCAATTTAATATCGCTCAGTGGAGTCACATTTATTCTGTGTCTGTAAAAACAGCTCACAAGCTGCGTGGGCAAAACAGAATTACAGACCTACCTGGAAAAGCTAAAATAGTTTTGAAAAAGAAGCCTCTGGTTACTACAGATCTTTACTACACAGTACAGAGTGCAATTTTTATGGAATCTAGCACCTATATTTTCCACAAGTAATTAAACTGTAGCACAGCCTCTACATCTTTAAGCATACATTACATAAAACAGAGACCCCAAGAATACTCCCTGCCATCATTAGCTACACTTATATACAGCAACAGAATCTAGTAAAGGCCTTATGTATGAGGTATTTATATTTTAGGGTCACCACACTGTGTGTCTGATAGACCAGAGGACACATTCTGAAATTACAGGACTATATGCAGTGAAAAAAACATTCCAAGTTAGGACATTTTGACCGTGTCCAATAATTGTTAGCTGAAGTCCTAACCCACAGGCTTGCCTGGTTTTGCCTGTACTCAAAATCATCAAGCACCACGAGGAATAAAAGCAACCAAATTAAAATTTTCTAGTCACTACAACATACTTCATTTTGTTAGGATTAATACAAGAATTTTTAAATAGAGTTCTGTAAAACATAGCTTGTGCTTACACACAGGAAAAGGTTTTTTTATCTCATTTTCAATTATAGATCAATTTGACGCTTCTGCTACTAAATAACACACACAATTAAACTGAAACAAAAATCAAGAAGCAGGGGCTCATTCTAAAGACACAACCTAGCAGTGACAAAATATTTATTTAATCACAACACCATTCTTTTGATTTCAATGCAGCAAATAGCATGAATTAAGCTTAGCAATGAAGCGAAAAACTTGCAAAGACTCACACATGACAGCTCTGTGAATTATGTGATAAAAGCACAGCTGCATCGTCTATTTCATGTCTATTTCATATTCGTCCATAGTCAATTTCCCCCCTGTATTTTTAACAGGGAAAAGAGATGTGACCTTGCTCTGAAACATACCTCTTTCAGAAACTCTTCAAACTGCTCATCTAATTCTTCTTTTGAAATTCGATGAGCCATAATCTGCAACTGGACGTTGGGCTCCAAATAAATGAGTTTAAAAACTAAGATTTAAAATAAAAATAAAGTTAATTAAAAGCATTCTGAAATTAGAGGTAGCCTAGTGATTTGCTGCGTTCACAGAGAGCTATAAGCAAAAAAAATAAATAAATCTCAAGAGATGTCAAATTTCATTCCTCCCACTCCTAATCTAAATTATTTATTGAATAAGACAATCAGTGCAAACATACCTGGATTACCCAAGTTCTTTACAATCAAAACAGTAATTTCCAAAACAACAGTTTCAGCATTTTAACAAAGGGATAAATAAATCACCATCTTTACATTTTTCTTCAAAAGACAGCTCTCTTAGCTAACCCCAATTAAGCATTTTGCCAATGATCAAACAAGAATCCACTGCAGTAATACTTCCCATCCTTTTTAAGGGCTTTTAATTCCTTTCTACATTTCTTCTCCAAAACTGGACACATCTGGCATTTTAAGTTTTGTTTCATCGTCTCTGCCGTGCTGAGGACTCAGTAAACAATAAATGCATGAAAGTCGTTAAGATTAGAGGACGAGGTTTGGTTTGATCTGCCCTGACACAGAAAGCCAATGGCACTTGCCCCCCTCCCGTTCCCAAAAAGCCTGTGTCGACTTCTCAGGTATAAAATATGCCCCACACTCAAAAAGCTACAAAGCCTTTGTATATCACACTGCTCAACACATATGGCTACCTTCAAAACTGCATATGTATCGCAGCATTAAACCACCCTAGCATCTTCCAGGCTGAGAAGTGCTACGTAAACATAAAAGGGCTAAACATTTGCAGAAATGCTTTTACCATTAAATAAAACTTCTCCCAATATGGAGCCCCTCTCAGTACACAGGACTGTTACCTACCTAGTAAATTGATTTTGACAGGCGAGTTGTGACAACTGCTTCCTGCTTTCACTCCTTATTCATCCATAGACCACCCGACACTTCGGCTTTGGCAGTTAGAAGAAAAAAAAAAGAAAAAGTTACAGCAGACTGCCCAGACTTTGAATCGAGTGAGATATCCTTCTGTAAGCACTTGGCCAATATCTCTGCAAACATGGTAAGGAGATTAAGAATGTTACCTCTCATGACACACATAATCCAGTATCCTTTTATACGTTTACATCAAAGAACACTAGATGCTTAACACTAGATGCCTTAACAGTTTACTAGCTGTGCCAACTGCACAATACTGAATTCCAGCTTTGCCATAAAAAGAGTCTGTTGACGTTATCTCTACTTGTGTCTACCTTATAATTACGGCTTTTATAAAAACTATCGATACGGAACTTTGTTTTTTAAAAAGTTCAACAAACATGCCAGGCAATTTCCATAATAGAAGACCACAGACAAACATTACCTTTAACAAATATATTTTGCAGCCACACCTTTAGGCTCACAAATGACTTGGTAAGTAACAGAAAGGAATCACCTGCTGGGACAGACGCTACAGCAGAGGGCAGAAAGCGTCAGTTTCAGGAAGGCAGGGCTAACCCACCGGGCTGAAAGCAAGCTTGTACAGCCTAATCCTTTAATCACCCCGGAGCTACCACCTGCCGTGACCCGATCCTCCTCCGCCTTCCCCCAAAGTACAGGCAGGGCTGGCACACGGCGGCAGGGCTGGCACACGGCGGCAGGGCTGGCACACGGCGGCAGGGCTGGCACACGGCGGCAGGGCTGGCACACGGCGGCAGCACCGTGCTCCCCCTCCAACCCCAAACCCAACCCCAACCCCAGCCGCCACTCCGCGGCTCTCCTCCGGGCCCTCTCCCGCCGCAGGCCTAGCGAGTGCTGCCGAAATTAGGCTGCGGGCCGGCCGGGAAGACGGAGAAGCGCAGCCCCGGGAGAAGACGCGGCTCGGAGCCTTGCCCGGGGCGCCGGGGCCTACCTGGGCCGCGCCGGACCCCTCCCGCCCAGAGCGGCGCGGTTGCCATGGAAACCCAGCCGGCCACCGTACCGCCCGGCCTGTCACGTGACAGGGCCCCAGCCACCCCCGGCTCCCCGCCCCGCCGCCGGCGCGCGTGGAAGACACGTGACGAAGGGGTAACGGCCCGCCGCCGCCATTATTACCGTGGCAGAGGTTTCGGCCCGGCCCGGGAAGGCGGAAGTCGCCGCGCTGTGACGTGAAGCGGCGGCGGCGGCGCCGGTGGTGCGGGGCGGGCGCCCCCTGCTGGGTAGCGCGGGGGGCAGCTCCCGCCGGAGACCGGAGACCGGAGAGGGGCCGGTCCCGCCGTGAGGGGTCACGCCAGGATAAGGCAGCGGCGGCCGGGCCCGCGCAGGGGAGAACCCGCGCTCCTGGTCGTGAGGCCTGCGGGGTTGACGTGGTGGCCACCTGCAGCCAAGGTGTCTTCCTCAGCTTTCTGAGGGACAGGCTGCACCTGAAGTCACAGACTCACCAAGTGATCTGGGGTTGGAAGGGACCTCTGGAGATCATCTCCTCCAACCCCCTGCCAGAGCAGGTCCACCCAGAGCAGGTCCCACAGGAACGTGTCCAGGCAGGTTTGGAATGTCTCCAGAGAAGGAGACTCCACCACCTCTCTGGGCAGCCTCTGCCAGGGCTCTGCCACCCTCACAATAAAGAAGTTTTTCCTCACGTTGAGCTGGAATTTCATGTGTTTGTGCCCGTTGCCCCTTTGCCCTGTCCCCGAGCACCACTGAAAAGAGTAGCCCCATCCTCTTGACACCCACCATTTCGGTATTAATAAGCATTGATCAGATCCCCCCTCAGTCTTCTCCAGGCTGCACAGCCCCAGGTCTCTCAGCCTTTCCTCTCAATCGTCTTTGTAGCAAGTCGTTCAGCTGATCTTTTGCAAAAGCAGGATGGAAAGAGTTAAAAGCCATTTTCCCCAACGCAAAAGTCCAAACCAAACCATCCCCTTCTTGCTCCTACCCAGAAATCCCCTTCTGGAGCGTTCCTAGCGTTTCAGCCTCAGATGTCGGCTGCTGCGCTTTTAATAACATTTTAGCACATCCCTGGCAATGTTTAAAATAGGCAGGGAAATTAATGACCCCTGTTTCCCTGACCACTGTCTCTCAAATAACCGCAGAACAATTGCAGTCTGTGCTTGCGTGTGCTCTCCGGCGAGGGTCCGCCGGTGGTGTTTGTTGTGAGAGTCACGTTGCTTTAGGAATTTTTACGCCAGCATTTAGTAAATGGGCAAAATGAAACGGGCTGTCTTAAGAAGACAAATGAACATTGTTCGCGCGCACACACACACACACACACACATTTTTTGTTCTCTGTTGAGCAGACTCGGAATGAAAAGATTTTGAAAGGAAGTTTTCTTCGGCGAGTGTTGGATACTCATCACAAGTGAGAAACTAGTTAAAATCCTATTACTGTCTCTCATTTCCTGTTAGCTGGAGAGATAAAGACTGTGCTTCCAATATGGCCTTTATATATCCCAGATTTTTTTTTTAATGCAAGTATAAATTACAGTTTGAATTCAAAGGAGATACGGGCTCTGGGCTTTCCACCCAAGTCTATGGGTGGAATATAGAATTGCTTTGCTAAAGGTGCTGCAGCGCCTCGTTCAGCCAGGCCTTTTGTCTGCAAGATGGAGTATTGTGTTTCCATTTCCATTTATTTCGTCTTCATGTGCCACTTCTGCTGCTGTCTCTGGGAAATGTGGGAGCTGATCAAGGACAGGATGCCCCCATAAACTAATATACTAGAACGATTTGTTAAGCGTGACAGCCCGCTGCTGGAGAAAACATCAGTTTCCAGCCTTTGCTCTTTTCTCTCGTCTCCTGAAAAAAAAAAAAAGTGTGGAGGGAGGCACGAGCATTTAAAGAGAAATATGGAAATTAATTAAGGGATGTCAGGCTGATGCTGCATGCCTTGATCCCGCTGACATTTAAGCCAATGCAAATTTTGCTGTTCACTTCAAAGCGATAGCCGTGACATCATTCATTGATCATGGGAGTTACTTCATATATAATCAAATACTCACATCAAGGGCTCAGTCCTGCAAGCTGCTAAAAAACTGTTGCACATTGAAGCCTTTCTGCTCGCAGAAATATGTTCAAAGAGGCCTGTACAAAGTATAGAAAAACGTGCAGGGGGATCAATGTTGTTGGAAACCTCAGTGCCCATATGGAAAGGAAAAAAAAAAAAACCAACCAAAAAACACAAAACCCCAACCACTCTTGATGACTGTGGTGGAGAGGAGGCATCGCCTGGTGTTGAAATGTCATCCAGTGCATTCAAATGACATGCACAATAGCCACTTAAAAGATTTTCATTTCCTTCTAATGCCAACCAGTTGGAGCAGTTTTCTCAAGACCTCTTAACAGTGGAGCATGCCAACCAGTTGGAGCAGTTTTCTCAAGAGCTCTTAACAGTGGAGCTTAAAAAAAAACCAACAAAAAATAAATAACCAAAAAAACCACCCCAACCCCAGAGAGCAGGGCTAGCCATGAATTTCAGGCAGGAACATGTTGATTTGGGTGGAGATACCGATAAAGCAGAAGGATGGTCACAAATTCCAAAATGAATCCTTCTAGGCAGAGCCCCAGATAATCAGGTAAAATTCTGGCTCCGCTGAGATGGGTGGGAAGCCTTTGCTGACTTCCCCAAAACCAGACTTCACCATCGTAGTCATTGGTTTCTCATTTAAATGTGTGACATGTCTACGCTTAACACATTTTTTCCCCCCTCCAAATTGCTAAAATATAAGGCTTCACATATTAGTATAATAATTTCAAACAATTAATGGTAAAATTAAAAGGGGTAAAATATCCATACTTTTGTTTTTGCACGTCTGATTTCAGATTCGTATCGTCCATAAATGTCAATGGGGAAAAAGACATCAAATAAAAAAGAAACAAAACGTCTGCCACATCCACTTTGGCTGAGGCGTTGCATTAGATAGTATTTCAGTGCTGAACTTGCAAATATGTGAAATATGAGATTATGAAAATAAATATTTAGCCATATTCTTGGTGATGTTTTTTTAAAGGTTAACAGTTTCATACTGAATGAAAAGCAAACAAACAGTGGTGAATTAAGAAGTTAAAACGGCATTCTCTGTGCATGCCCACTGTGATAATACTTCCTTACATGACTCTGCAATAAAAACCTTTCCCAGTATATGCAGCAGAAAAAAGGAAAAGCCTTCCATAAAAGTACAAGTTGCACCAAAAATGGAGATATTATGTGGGAATGTATTTTGTGCGGGAGAAAACGGTAGTCTGGCATTGTTAAATTTGGAACAGTTATGAAATAGTTCATGTAACTATAATTTCACTTTAAAAGATTATTGTTAACACTTTCGCTTTTGTTTCACTGCAGGTCTTATTTTGTTCTGCCGCTGATTAACCGTAGTCCTCGGATCTCAAGGGCCAGATTTATGGCTAACTGTGTTACGATAACTAGCCCGAACTCAGCTTAGCATCTCACCCGCTGGGTCTTTTCCCTCGTGCGGTTTCTCCACGGGCTGAGAAATAAATTCTGTTTGGTGTCTCGAAGGCTTAGACCGGTTGCTAATCTTATTTCTGCTTCAAGCTGGCGTCCCTTGAAGGGAGCCACAGGTTTGGAAGCTGGGCTCTCACATCGCCCACATCATTTCCCTCTTTTCTGGAAGTTTAGCAGACGTGCACCATCTCAGACTTCTCAAAAACAGATCCTCCCTTTGGCTCATTTGTGTAAAGACTTGATAGCCTTAATGTTGCGCCCCGTGCTGCCAGCTTTTCGGTTCCTCTGGAAGATGGGGAGCGCAAAGTTGCTGTAATTACTGGCTGCAGGAGTAAACCCTTCCCCATCCTAGAGAAAACCGTGCTACTGCCAGCAAATGTAAGCAGTTAAAAGGTCCTTCAAGGGGGTGAATGTTTGCTGTCAGTAATTAATAGCTGCTTTTCACTCAACTTAAAAGAAGTGCATCTGCCAACACTGAACACTGCTTTTTCTTCCATTTCCTGATTCCCTGTAAACTTGTTGGGAAGCGTGGTTCTGCTACGTAGTGAAGCCAGTGGAGAGAGATCCCTCCCGTTACCAGCTTTCGCTTTTGACAAATCCTGGGAAAATTATTGTGCAAAGATAGATGCAGAGACGGCTGGGGGGGACCATCTTTCTAAGACAAACACATCTGCCAGTGCCGTTAATTGCACTTTAAAAATCAAACAGTAGCACATTTGAGCTGCCCTGCCTCTCCTGCCCTGTGCCTACTGCGGGTCCTTCTTTGCCAGTGAAAATTCTCCGTACTTGGCATTGGGTGACACACCTACGACTCCTACTCTACACAAACTTGGGTCGTTTTCACCCCGAAGTCGTTTGAACTGCAAGCCCTCATCTGCTGTGAATATTCTCCTTTGTATATAGAAAGTTTTATAATAAATTTTTCTCTTTGCGTGAAGACGCGCTGCATATCTTCAGTTCAGAAGAAATTAAGGTAAATATTTTCATAAAAAATTCTTAGTGGCTTAGGAAAGATTAAACTCAGAAAACTCAGCAAAGAAAAATTAAGTGTGCTGGTTTATTCAAATTTTTCAGATCTGTAAAATCTCTTGTTAATCCTGACAACCTATCTGCTTAACGCTGGCAAGAATATTAGCTTTGCATTTCAGATTTTCACTTGGTTATTTTTAGTTCTTCTGAAGCCTGGGAAATAAGAA